AAAATATATATATATATATATATATATATATATATATATATATATATATATATATATATATATATATATATTGGCAATAGACCATAATATATATTAAATATATATAATAATATATATATATATTAAAATATATATATATATATTGTTATTGATGAAAATCACAGCGATTTCGACGTTAGTTAACATCTATTTTAACTTTTCGATTGATCGGAAATCATTTTCAAGATTTTTAGTTCAAAACCAAAATTTTTGTTCATTTTATGCATGATAGAACAAAAATGCTTTTATCGATATTCTTAATATCATCTTCGGTGTTCAAATTGGTATATTTTGTTTGTGCCCAGATGCTCAAATATATATATATATATATATATATATATATATATATATATATATATATATATATATACACATATATATAAATATACATATAAGTTCTACCGATTTGTTAGTGTTATTATTATTAGTAGTAAAATAAAAACAATTTGCTACCACCTTAAGATTGAAAATAATCAAATAATTTTATTTCAAGAATTCTCTCTCGGCTAACGATTAATGTCTTTGTCTAGAAAAAGAAGGGCAGCATCTGCTGCATTGGCTTGCCTCTGTTACGTTGTCCTGTGGATCACTGCTGGTGCCCAAAACTGTAACACGTTGAAAAACAAGGCTCGTTGGAATAATTTGAGACTCCCGAGAACTTTGGTGCCTCATCTTTATGAAGCAGTCATCCATCCCGACTTGGAAAGGTTGGATTTCCGTGGTTGGTCCTGCGTGGAGGTGTTGGTGAACGACAACACTGATTACATCGTCATGCATGTTAAAAAACTCAACCTCAGCAACATCGACGTGCGCTTCAAGGATCGAAACGGTTAGTGAACATTTTTAGTTACAAAGAGAGTTCCAATGTATTTCTTGTTACTTGAACATGGCAAATTGTCTGTTATGTAAATTTCAATTACAGTCTTTTTTAATATTTTAAGATGTAATTTTTTTTTCTATACTCATTACAAAGTTACCATTTGGCAACTTGTTTGAATAAATTTTACTAAAAGACTCGTTAGAAATAAAAGAGCACGTGATCTCAGATGAGCGAGAACAGTTGCAGATTGAACTGACTTCCCTCCTGTTGAAAGGTTCCAGACTGCTCATCAACGTGTCCTTCCATGCAGCTCTCAGAGATGATTGTAACGGCTTTTTCTTTGATTCTTACAAAACGAAAAATGGTGTAGAAAGGTAGGTTATTAAGATATTTAATTATTTTGTATATTAACCTTTTCAATTGCTGCAAATTCTGATTTGAAATTTATCAAAATTGCATGTGATCCAACTCGCAATGCAGACGGTTAGACGAATATTTCAAAACGCAAAAGTTTTGATTAATAATAGAAATAATTCTTTGTATTTTGATATATCAAATGGAAGACTATGTTCAGTTGTCCATCTCTTTGACTGTATGCTAACAAAGTTTATTGAAATGCGGAATCTAATCGCTTCTTAAAAATTAAAAAAAAATTTCAATCACTAAACCAAACTATAAATTTGTTAGTTATAACATTATTATTTATTCAGTATATTGAAACATTAAATAATAAATGTTCGATTTTGAACGTTAGTAATCCTCTTTGAAATTACAATCAATTGCTCTGCTTGTATATTTTTAAAACTTTATAAAAATTCGACCTATCAACTCAACAATGAACAAATTCAATCATGAAATATTCATTTTTATTATTGCTGGTGAACAATATAGTTCATGTCAAAACCAGATTCATGGCTGCCACACAGTTTGAATCGATACAAGCCAGATCAGCTTTCCCATGCTTTGACGAGCCAAACATGAGAGCTCGATTCAAGTTCAGCATCATCCGTCCAAATAATTACATCTCGTTATTCAACACGGAGAAGGTTTGGTGTGATGCAGTTCTGAATGTAAATAATGTTATTCTGTTATGAAAATAATGTTTTTTGTGGTTGTTGTTTAAAAATTTTTGAAAACAATACTTCATGACCTTTTATTTACTCTAACAATAGAATTAATAATTATGATCATATGATTATTTTTATGATTTGATTGAAAGGATAAAATCTGAAGCCTTTCTCACAAGAAATAATGACGTTAATAAAAAAATTACCAAAAACAACCATTTTCATTGAATTTAAATAAATGTTTAAAATACAGTGAATTAACAAATACTATTAAAGTTAATTATTTTCAAGCTGTTAAAACCCAAAATTATTGAAAATTACTATATTGAAGTTTCTACTGTTGTAAATCTTTGACTTCGTAACTACTAACACCGATGTAATAACTTCAACAATCTCTATATTTTCAACATCAGTGTTGTAGCTTCCAACAATCGTCAAATGTTCGTTATTCCGAAAGTTCAAGATTTCTTGCTTTAAGCGCAAACTTTGTTGAACGTTTATTTGAATATCAACTGTAATAAAAACAATTAACTAATCCAAGTAACTACATAAATCACATTTACTACTTAGCTTTCTCTGCTTGTAACCTGACTTGTAAACCCAACTTCTTAACCTCACTCCGTAGGACATATTTATATCCAATTTTAAGCATAGATAGTTTTACAATTTTTCCAAATATTTCAAGTATAGCAAGGAAAACAATGATCACGTCATTAGACTTTTTAGTGATCTTGTACCGACTTTTCAAATTCCTTGAGAATTTTGCCGATAATCTTGTGTACTGATTCTTCCAATTCCTTGAGAGTTTCGCCGGGCAATGCCTTTTTCTGCGCGGTAGGTTAAACAACCAGACCAGATCTTTGCTCTTGAATACTGCGTAATTTTTTTTCTGGTCACGGCTCGTATTCGTTGTTGCGGTTTTTCTAGCCATAGGCAGACGTTGTTGTCCTGTCTTGATTTTGTCTGCACTTAAAGCAAGTTCTATCATTCGACTATGTTTACGAGTTGTATAATGACCAAACGAGTATCTTTGATGCTTGTTGTATGTTTCGTCGTTGACCAGTGATGCAGTGATACAAAACAATTAAGCCTTCATTAATGTCATCATCCAGATAGACAAAAAACAAGCTTTCATTCTGAGTGCGACTTGGAAGTTTATCTCAAAACTTGAACCATTGTCTACCCCTAATTTTGGTCCTGAATGCATACTCGAGTTAACATTTAAATCATCTTTACTGACGTCATATCCAAATCATCATCAAAAGTTCATCCATTAGTGAGTGTTTCGTGTTGCATGGAAATCGTTGTAGCTAGTATTGCCACTGCTATTGTTGTTATCGATGAAAACACAGGCGAGTGACGCGCAAAAAAATTTAAAAAAACAGCCATTTTTATTGAATTTAAATAGAGGTTTAAAATGTTGTGAATTAACGTATACTATTAAAGTAAATTATTTTCAAACTGTTAAAACCCAAAATTATTGAGAATTACTACACTGAAGTTATACATTATTCAAGTTTTTTCGTCTCACATAGGCAATTGATTAACAGACAATAAATTATGTTGTCATGGAGGTTTGAAAAATAAATTGTGTTAATGACTTTTTAAATAACTTCAACTAAGTGACCATTTTAATGCTAGCAGGAAAAATGCCGTCCCAAATTTTAAAACCATTCACACATGCACTTAGTTGGAAAAGTCTAGTCTTACAAGGGAAGATATGAAACAAGTAGTTTTGCTGGTTGACAGGCTGTGAATGTTCAAACCTATGAAAACACTGCTATTATACTCTATGTTATTTCACTGTTATTATATGTTATACTCTATGTTATTACGCTGATATAACACTACATGTTATTATACATATATGATTAGAGATAATTGCACTATTTATATTCATCGATCAGCATTTCATTTCATCCGAAAATAAAACCGTTTCAGCCATGTGTATCGCCTCATGTTTGAATACCAATGACGAACATAACATAAATTACCCTTTGATATAATGAGCTCAGAAATTCAAGAATTTTTTTTACTCTATTTTATTCGATTTCGAAGATTTATAAATTTAAAGTTGAAATGTTTATCGATTTGAGTCAACATTTGTTTTTAATATCATAGTTATTTATTTTGAGGAAATTGTTTCAAAATAACAATTCAGTGTTTTAAATTTTTTACATACACGTGTAAATGTTCTTTCTAACGTTTCAACTTCTAAAAACAAACAAAATAGATTTCATTAAACTCAAGAAGCAGAATAAAATATGCTTTCTGTGGAAAAAATCAATTGTCGAATTAAACACAGACTGCGCCAAACTGAAAGCAACTTTCACACTTCTGAGCACGGTCTTGCATACAAAAAATACAAACAAAAAAAATATTTGAAAAATGATAGACAAATGATTTGTAGAATGAGAGGCAAAAAAGCTCAAATATCGAAACAGATCAATTTAACGCAGAACTATCCGCTTTAACCACTAAGTCTGAAACCGTGAATCATATTAATCACTGTAAGTGTAGGCAGGAATGAATTGCATTATATTATTGATACATTATTTTTAAAATGTACTTTGCTTTACAAAAAATAATGTTAAAGTTAAAAAACTTAAACATGCGAAAAATCATGTGAAAGTAGTAATATCTCTCTTGGGTTGACCTTGAAGTTATGAAATACAGGTTGAAAAAAGTTAAAAAAGGAAGATTTTGATAATTACCAGTGTCGTAACGTTGTATGAAAATATTAGTAGGGAACATTAGCTTCAACCACACCAATTTTTTTTTGCAAAATTTTCAAAATTTAAACATTTGTGTTATTTTGTTTCAAATTTACTTTAATAAATTTGGAAAGATTTAAAAAAAATTTGAAGAATATTCATTGTTAACAGGTTGAAGAAAAGTATTATTCTTCCAACGAAACGATGGACGTTTTTGAAACGACTGTCAAAATGAGTACTTACTTAGTTGCATTCGTCGTTTGTGACTACAAGTCGAAATCCAAGATAAACAATGGAGTTATAGTTAGTTGAATGCATTGGTTTCATTGTAACATATGAGCATGTACAATCTTTTGTTAATCAAAATACAAAACGTTTAATCCAACAATATAATGTTTTACATAGTAAATTTCTCCAGGCCAATTAGTGTCAATTTTAACAATATTTGAAAATTTTTAAAACGTAAAATACGCTCCGTTTACGCTCCGTCAGAAAGAATTCAGGAGGTCGACTTAGCCCTTAACACAGTAGTGGATTTGTTGGAATATTTTGAAACTCTCTACGAGGTCAAATATCCTCTGAAGAAACTTGGTTGGTTTAAATAGATTACTCACATAAATCATTTGAAGAATAAGCAAAAATTCAATAGATTAATTTCTTTGCTTTTGGTTTTTATAATTTGATCAACATTAGTTTTTGCATATCACGCTATGGAGAAGCAGATCTAAGCAAGTTTGACAAAGGCTATGTGTGTGTGGTGAGCCGATTATAATGAATCAAAAAATAATTGTGTATTTTAATCTTTATATATTGTTGTAATCCTTGAGGTTCGTAACTACTAACACCGATGTTATAACTTTAAAGATCTCTATATTTCCTACATCAATGTTGTAGCTTCCAAAAATCGTCAAGTGCTCGTTATTCCGTAGGTTCAAGTTTTTTGATAGATGAATACAACTGCTTCAATCGCAATCTTTGTTGAACGTTTATTTGAATACCAACAGTAATAGAAACATCATACTAATCCAAGTAACTACATAAATCACATTTAAAACTTCGCATCAAACCTCCTAGAAACCTGGTTGGTTTCTGCATGTATGAAGGATCTAATAGCTTGAACGGTAGATTTTTACGATCAAAAAATTACAATTATCATTTTACGATCCTCAATCTAAAGATTACAAATATAGCCATGATCACAATAATTAAGATAATATTATAGCGCAATCTGATCATTCCGGCGGTTATAACATTACCCTCACCTTAGCCAGTTAGTCCCTAACATGGGCGTTATTTATTTACTCTGCTGAATAGGGGATAATCTATTTAAATGTACAACCTTCATCTTTGTCATTTTCTTCCACGATCATAGGTCCTGTATATCACGTCATTTATCCTTTTAGTAACCTTGTACCGATCTTTCCAATTCCGTAAGAGTTTCGCCGGGCATTTACTTTTTCTGCGCCGTAGGTTGTGCAACCAGATCAGGTTTTGCTTTTAAGACTTGCGTTATTTATTTTTGGGTCACGCCACGTTTCCGTTGTTTCATTTCTTCTAGTCATAGGCAGACGTCGTATAGAATGACAAGACGGGTATCTTTGATGCATGTAGTAAAATACGTCGTTGACATCTTTCCTGTCGATCAGTGATGCAGCTATGAAAATCTCATCCTCATCAGTAATGTAGCCGTCGTTGATGTCATCATCCAGGTAGACGAAGATCAAGTTTTCATTCCAAAAGCATGCAGGAAAGATTTTTTCAAAACGTGTAACATCATCTGTCACCAATTCGTGTCCGGAATAGATATTCGCGTCAGCATTAACATCAATCTTGTGGACATCGTTAACCTGTAAATCCCTGTTATCGATGTTAGAAAAGAAAAGCAGGCAAATTGTTATTGCTAGTAGTCCCACTGCATATCAAACGTTTTCACGTCTTTGTTACTGCTAACTTTTTAATTGATTAAGATACTAATAAAGCGCAATTATCAGTCCGGCGGTTATAACAATATCAAAGCATGATACAACGTTACTCTGTGACATTATTTTTCTCTCATCAAGTATTGTACGTTCGCAGATAACGTGCCTGTCGTTAACTTCCATTACGGGAGTATGGAAAACTGGGGTAACATAATATATCATGAAAGCTATTTGCTTTTCAATGCGGTGGAAGGATCGGAGTCAGACAAGATCGATGTCGTTATGGTGATAGCGCACGAAGTGGCTCATCAGGTGAGATGGACGTTACGATAACATTTTTTCTATTTTAAGAAAGATTTTGTCAAGTTATTTGGTGTTGTTGTGAAGTTTACCGATGTCTCGTTTTGTTTACAAATTTTTATAATGAGAAATTAAAATTAATATTTTCATTATGGTATGATAATAATCACAAATACCAGAATCGGTGAAAATTAAAATTTTTGACCCATAAAACATAATTTAATAAGTTTTGTTATAAAATAATAGTATGTCCAATTTTATTAAATTATTCTCAGTTAAATCAATTAGGCAACCAAATTTTTGGAACCATTTATCGTTTTAAAATTTTTCATAATTTGATTGCAAACAAATTATATGAGCTCACAACAAGTTTTTAATTCTAATCATTTTGACGCTACATTTATTTTAGTGGTTTGGCAATTTGGTGACCATGGATTGGTGGGGTGATTTGTGGTTGAAAGAAGGATTTGCTACATTTGCTCAATATTTCGGAGTCAAGCATGTTTTCCCAGATTGGCCTATCGTTAGTCAATAAAAATTAAGCTCTAACTTTTAATTACATAAATACATGAAAAACATTGTGGAATAATATTTATAGTTTTGCCTAGTATTTTTGTATAAGTATAACGGTAAAGTCCGGTTTTCAGTTATCGACGGAAGACGTAAATAAATTTAAATATGAAATATTTAGAGATGCCCTCACAGAATCAGCAAGGGAAGTTATACATGTGAAAAAACGAAGAAGATGTCATACATGGATAACAGATGACATGTATCTCTGATGGAAAAAAAAGTTTGCAATCCTGATAGTTACAAAAAGCTGAACAAAACGCTCAAAAAAAGTACCTTGAGCCAAAAAAGAAATAGTTAAATGACAAGTGCGAAATCGTTGGGAAAGGGTTTGTATCTTTCTGGATGCATAAAAGCTAAATCTGGTAAAATAATCTTAGAGAATGTAAAAGTATTTGATATATGGACTGAATACATTAACGATCTTTTAAATGATATCCGTGGTAAAAAGCCTCCTATTAAGAAAGACGTAGAAGGACCAAAGATACTTAGATATGAAGTTCGAGGCGCTCTTTCCAAAATGAAATCTAATAAAACGCCAGGTCCAGATGAGATTGTTATTAAAAAAATTAAATGCCTTGATAACTTTGACATTGAAAATGTTACAGAAATTTTGAATGAGATTTATTTTATAACAGCGAGAACTTTCTGAATATCTATCTAAGTCAATATTTATTGCATAGCCTAAAAAACCTAATGCAATGGAATGTGAACTAAATCAAACAATCAGCTTGATGAGTCATGTTACAAAGCTTTTCTTGAAAATTCTGATGATGAAAGCACGAAGCAAAATCAGATTAAAAATTTCAAATGTCTAATGTGTTTTTGTAGAGGTTTGTGGCACAAGAAACGCTATCTTTATGTTCCAAATGATCAGTGAACGAGAGATTGAAATGAAAAAAAGACTTGTCTATATGTTTTATCGAATACACCAAAACTTTGATGGCGTGTTTTGTCAAAATAAAGAAAGGTATTAGGCACAATCCATAATCTGGCGGAGGCAGTTAAAGTTTTTTGGTCAAATCATGCGGGAGGAAAAAATGAAAAATCTAACAACGAGTGGAAAGATAGCAGGGAGAAGAGATCGCGGTCAACAACAAATACCATTCGTGAAGCCCTTGTGTCACTTGTGGAATATCACCACATTTCAACTACTACAAAGTGTTAAAGATCTGGTTTTATGTAGATCGATGGTCGCCAATGTCTTAAAAGGATAAGGCACAAGAAAGAAGAGAAAAATATTTTTGTTGAACCGACATGAATTAATCAAATTTTAGTTTACTCACAATATGTTGACTATAATGAAAGAAAAAAAACTTAATCAGTTAAGCCGAAAGAATCATGTAAAACTATTGAGAATTATTAAAAAATGTTTTTTAGGCTCTAAATGTTCAACTCAAAGTACATCGTAATAAAATATTAAACTAAAAATTAGCAACAGAGAACGAGTATTACACAACAACGTTACGAAAGGCGTTAGTTTTCTGGTAACAATTTAAATCCACAACTATGAAGGCGTCTCAAAATTTTTACATTTATTTTGTGATATTTGCTTGGAAAAAAATAGAAAATGTTTAAATGTCTAAAATGTTTTCTAATGCGTTTTGGAAAATTAATTTTTTTTAATTTTCAAAAGTTCAACATGCAGTTAAGGTTTTATTGAATAGAAAACCGAGCTGAACATATGTATCTGCGAGAACACACTAAAAACAGCGTAACTAGAAATGTTCTAAAAATTCATGTCAACAATAAATATCCCATTCCATAAAATAGGAAATAAATCTGAAATTTTTTTTACATGTTTTTTCATCTGTTAGATGGAGGACTTTGCGTATGATGTTGCAATGCATGGTTTGACAACCGATGCCGTGGATTCGTCAACTCCCATAATCATTTCAATGGATGATACCAAAAATATTATGGAACATTATAACGACTTAACCTATTTGAAGGTTTTCGGTTTATGAATGTAGATGTTTGCTGTCTATTTTGATTTCTTATCAAATGTTCATTTTCGGCGTATAGTCGATCTATAAATGTTAGGAAGTTCCATTTAAGGATAAAATAAAAATTCGCCTGCTTGGTGTTAAACAAGAAAATCTTTTCAAAAGATTATTCGTTGTTAGAAATATGCTATCATCAAATTAGCATAATAAATTAAACAACAATTTTAAAAAAATTTAACAGAAGATTTAATATAACAGCTGGAAATAAATAAATTTATTTACCCTTTTCAGAGTGCTTCCTTAATACAAATGTTAAAAACTGCATTTGGTTCACATTTGTTTAACACCGCTGTGAAGAACTACATGAACAAGCATCAGTTCGACTGTGCTAACAAAAACGATTTGTGGGACTCATTCAATCAGCAGGTATTTGCCATGAGTTGTTGTTGGTGAGTTTTAATACTCAAACGTTGGTGACAAAATAACTTCAATGAACAGCGTAGATGAATTAACCAACATAAAAGTCTCCACTCATGCAGGCTTCCACTTTTTCACTTTTGGACATCATTTTTGCAGTTTTAGTGACAAACGTGTATTTGCCATGTTTTTTATATTTTCGAAAAATTTTGGTTTTTTTTTGCTGATTGAACAAAACCATGTTAATGTATTAATTAAATAAATAAATAAATAAATAATTAATTAATATATTTATTTACATGTTTATTTGGCAAATCTCAAACGTATCATCTGCCATAAAAACAAAATATATTTAAATCCACATGATTCCTTTCATCACACACAATGCATGTGATTGTCGGGATTCTATTCAAATAAGAATACAGTAACCGTAATACAGTAATTAGTGCCGGCTAATACAGTAACCTGGTTACTGTATTAGCTGGCACTAAGCTAAACACCTTAACCACTAGACAATGGCACCACACGTGAAAGAAATCATGTGTACATGAAATCAGCAGGTATTACGCAATTTAACAAATTAATAATTTCAAATGGCAAATTGATAAACGAAAAATGGTGCACACAGTTGGATAGCATGGAGAACATCAACGTGAAAGAAATGATGGACACTTGGACTTTGCAGATGGGTTTTCCAGTGGTCAGCATAATCAGGAATGGTCGGCAAGTGACATGCCACCAGGAGAGATTTGTTATCGTCGATCACTCAAAATTGGGCGACTTTGAAATAAAACGTCCTAAATTCAAGTTTGCAATTCTCTTTTTTAAAAATTGTTACTGAAACAACTTGAAAAAAATGATGATAATTCTGTGAATATTTTTTCAAAGTTACACGTGGATTATTCCTCTTACCTATGTTACCGACACAAATCCACACAACCATTCGAATGTTTTCATGAAAGAAAAGACAAGTTTGTTTTTTCACATTGTTTGCCCATTAGCTCTGTTTTTTATTTTATTTAGGAATAGTTTGCTTTTGTGTTATTTTTTGCAGTGATTTGTATCAGCAATATTTTTAGATACTTATTTACTTATTCAGATTTTTTTTGCATTCAACATTTAAGCTTTAAAATTTATTTGATTTCCAGTTCAATTTGATTTAAAAGAAAATGTTGCTTGGCTCAAAGCGAACTACAAAATGAATGGTGAGTTGATACTTTTGATACTGCTAACCGATATCGAGTAAATGTAATTGTAAATTGTGCTAAACTTTATAAATAAGCATTATTTTCTATAGTTTTCAAACAGCTACGAAGTAACCATTCTCTGAGAAAAATTGATAATAGTATTGAGCCGAAAACGATAGCTCATAGTTTGTTTGAATATTCAAATAATCATTTAAAAATCTATCAGCCGAATTCGAATAATTTGTAAAAAAAACGTAGACTAAATAATAAATTTAGCCTTTGTGGATAATGTGACAATTGTGTGTAGGAAATATGGTTTTCCAATTTTTTATTTTTTCCTGTACTTAAGCTTTCTGCTCCAAATCCGCCAACGTTGTTTCCACATATTTGTATTAACTCTCTTAATTTTTCATTAAAAACTTTCATCCGAGCTTCTCGGCTTTTTTTGCAAAACTTGCTCCATCTTCCTATTTCACAAATCATCTAATTTTTTTCGCAAAATTCAGCAGCTACTAATTTTATTTAATTCTTCATAATCATCCAAGATGTAAAATGTATATATAAAGCCGACCATGTTGACAAAAATAAACAGGTTTCATGGAATGCTCTTGTTGAAAAGAGTAATCTAATTCGGTTTTAAAAAGTGATTATTGCAAAAATCTCGTTGCTTCGTGCAACAATCGACCTAGACTTTTGTTCTAATATTAACAAACTACTTAAAAAAGATCGTGTTGATCTTTTTGGAGTTGAATTTAATGCTTCAGACATTTCTTAATTTTTCAAGGAAAAGATTGTTTTGGTTCGCAATGCGATATGCGGACCCCGTTTGTCGTTTTGATGATCTTGTCTGTAGACTCAGATTATGCCTCTCGGAAATTATTGAGTGGATGATGGCGAATAGGCTTAAATTGAATCAGTCAAAATCTCATTTTTTAACCGGTTAGCAACCAGGCAGCAACTGGAAAAATGAACATTAAGTCTATCAAGCTTGGTGGCTCTGATATTGAATTTTGCTCATCTGCACGCAACCTGGGACTTGTTTTTGATAATAACATGTCTTTTAACGTTTATACTGGGACAGTTTCAAAAAAGTACTCTGAACAATTGAGTATGCTCACCGCATAAAACGATCTTTGAGCAAGCATACTCTTCAATATTTTTTTCATTCCTTTATCGACTCAAAAATAGACTATTGCAATAGTCTATATTTCGGCCTGTTAGGTGTAAATATGTCTAGACTGCAGTCGGTTCAAAATTGGGCTGCAAGGTTGGTTTCAGGTGGCCCAAAATACGATCACGTTAAGCCAAATTATTTTTGCTCTTCATTGGCTTCCGGTTTATGAAAGAGTTATTTTCAAGATATGTTTAACGGTTTTTAAATGTATTAAGAAATTTGCCCCTATATATCTTACTGACAGAGTCATTGCTAGAACAATGCTACTGATGAGTCAAATATTGCGCTCTGACAATGTTTAATGTTTGTACCTGACACAAACTTGCCTAGAGAACTTCGTGATCCTGCCTTGTCTGTGATTAAATTTTTTTTAAATATGAAACACCATCTTTTTGACCGAGCTTACCCGCACTAATGTCTCTTTCACTCCCTTCATTGCATTGCTTTAGTAAAGTACTACGCAATGTACTGCAATAATCGTTGGCGCCACTGACATTTTTGTAAAGGGCGCTTACAAGCACTCCAATAATAATACCGATAATTATAATATTTACAAAAACCCAGGTTTTTACAGAGTTAACTACGATGCAAATGGATGGTCGGAAATCATAAAGCAGCTTAAAACCAATCACAATGTATAAATTTTTTTTTTGTGTACAAATTCAATAGTCAATATTTCACTCAATTGTTCAATGTAAATAAAATATTAAATTTTAATAATCATTAGCGTAACCAATTACACGTATCTGCAGATTTTTCAATGAACGAAACTAGCTGTACCTTTATTTAAATGAAATCGTTTATGGTTTATACCAATGATTAGCTGAAAAATTTTAAATGTTAAATTTATATCAAAAACATCCCTACTAATATGTTTTAAAATTTCTAATAAAAGGTCTTCGACGTGTTGGATCGAGGCAGTTTGATAAATGATGTATTTGCGCTTTTAAGGTAAGAAATTATTCGAATTTAACAAACTTTTTTTAATGTTTAGAAAATTGAAATTTAATTTTGTTGAGTTTCATCAACATAATCAATCCTGTTGTTTTATTTATTTCGAAAGTTTTTTTTGTTCACATTTTAGCACGAACCTTGTGAACTTGAATACCGCTTTTAATCTTTCATTGTACTTGGAGAAGGAATTGAACTGTCATCCATGGAGGATGATGATGGGTAACATTTGGTATACTATCCAGAAGTTCTCAACACATCCTAAATATCATTTATATACGGTGATAATTATTGGATATTTTTAAACAAACTCATTACAGAGTATAAGTGAACCAACAGTAAAAATTAAGAAAAATTTATTTTAAAAATTAAGCAAAAAGAAAATTAAACATTATTATGTGGTTGATAATATGAAACTGTTAAATTTAGAATTTTATGAAAAAGTTGATGACACCAGTTTTGAAAAATCTTGGATTTAAAGAGGAAGGAGATTATGAAGCAAAGTGGGAGTTTTAAGAAATTTTTCATTTTCGTAAAAGAATTTTGGTATTTTAGTTTTAATTTAACTTTTTAATTTTCAACTTTTTTATTTTTAGTTTATTAAATATATTCAAACCTTTTATGCTTTATTATATTTTGTTGACAAAATTATTTAAAATAAATGTCTGTAAAAATTGCCAGGTTGATAAGACCACAACTGATGACACTTGCCGCTCACATGGGCTTTCCTGAGTACGTAGACTGGGTGCAGGAATCGTTCAAACAAGTCGTCAACGGTTCATCGAAGTCAGCAACCTATCAAGTTCTGATGTTTTGAAAAATTGAAACGTATATTGATAAGATGGAAACATTATGATTATTTGTGTGTGACTGTTATATAGCAGTTGTCAACTTTTTATTTATTTCTTCAAAGATTGAGTCCTAATCAAAGAGACATTGTTTACAGCTATGCGGTAAGATACGGAGGTGAAAAGGAATGGAACTATGTGATGAATCTGGCCCTGGCTGACGACGCATCGAGAATAAAATCTCTGTTAAAATCTCTTACGCTCAGCAAAAACCTGTCGAACATTGAAAAGTAAGTCTTTCGCAGCAGTTTTTATTTTTAAAAAGGCTAGAGACCATTCTTTCCCCAATTCCCTCAACAACAAAATTATTCGCATAAAAATACTTTGAATTATTTAATAGATTTTAATATGATGAAGAAATTTAAAATTATTATTAGTAAAAGTTACTTTACACCATTAAATATAACATAAGCATAAAGAAATAATGGGCGCGAAGAACATATGCCCATATCTAAATGAAATAAAATGTTTTTATAATATCATTATATATGATGACTTTTCAAAAAACAGAAATAAACACACACACACTCACTTACATACTTCTAAATAAAATAAAGATGTACGTTACACACACATACTATCACACACAAACCACATCCACACACACTTGTATAATACTTGCATGCATATACTAAAACATTACTGATAATGAATAATCTTAATCAAGCACACCTACCCAGACGTCTATACACACCGTAAACACATTTAAATACTTTCATGTTCATTAAAAATGTCACACAAAGTATAGCAATAACCAATAAATGTCAATAACTATATATTAACCTGACAATATACATATATTTAGTTCACACATACATCCAAACACTCATTTGCTCATACACATTATCGTCTGTACACAAATTCATCACACATACTTACACATAAAATTAATTAAATAGTAAATAAATATACCTAAATAGAAATTCTATAATTAAACAAAACATCACAGATACATATGTGTACACCCCATCACCTCATACATGCAATATGTATAGACCCAATCGTAATATGAAGTGTAACAAATAGATACATAATTAAATAAATAAATAAAAGAAAACTTCAGTGATATAACGGTATCATAATATAAATTGAAAAAAACAGTATTTTGTTAATTATAATAAATAACCACAAACAAAATAATGAAGTTAATGACAATCATTCTGCAACTGTTCAATAATAAATTAAACAAACATATAACGTCCAACAACATTTACTGTTTACCATTTATAACAATCACATTCAAATTTCCAAGGGATGTTAAACCAATGATTGTCCACATTCTTCTTAAATTCTGCAATGTTACAACAGCACACTACCTCTTCAGGAAGGTCATTCCACAATCTAACGACTCGATTTGTAAAATAATACTTTCTTAGATTTTTATTTAATGTTTTAACTTTGAGCTTTAATTTATGGCCTCTTGTTCTGTTATCATTCACCTTTTCAATGAAAGGATGACAAGCATCGGATTCACTCTTCAACATATTAAAAAGTAGAATCATATCTCCTCTATTTCTACGGTATGTCAATGTGGGCAGATCGAGATGTTTCAGTCTTTCTGCATACTTTAAATTGGAACAATTCTTTACCATTATTGTAGCCCTCTTCTGGACTCTTTCGATATCTTTTATTTCTTTTATGGTCCACGGTCTCCGGTCTGCATATTATAAGTTTGGAATTAAAATTGAAATTCCAAGTTTTACACCATTAAAAAAAAATAGAAACGTCAAATTAGGTTCAACAAGAATGTTAATCTATCCCTGCCATGTAAAAATACAAGTTTCATATTTTTCATTCAAAAATTCAACGTGATAAATTTTCAAATTGAGCATTTTTCAAGTGTATTTTGAATACTCAAACCATTTTATCTCTAAATTAATAGCTTTTTTCTATTCAAAGTTAAAAACGTTATTTAGGTTGATAGATTTGGCGCTGAACAAAAGCCTGGTACAGAATTGGGAATGTTACATCGTGTTGATAAATATTATTCTGAATTCTATTCATCAAGAATCGCTGTGGAAATTGATTACCAAAAATTGGACTCAAATTCACGAAAGGTATTTTTTATTATTTTTCTAAACATTTTATTATTAAATATTCTGTATTTTCTCTTTTAGTCTCGACATTGTATCTTTGAAAATATTTTTATAAAACCTCAGTATTCATCAATTTAGCTCTTGTCAAAAGTGAGAAACCAGCACCAGCTGCAATTTGTGATGTTAATTCAATTGATGATGATAACTTTAAGATTAAATTAAAACTTTTTTATTGAATTAAAATTATTTATTAATCATTATTTAATTGTCATAATCAACGTTTTGATTTTATTTTGGCACCCAGTTTCTAGCGTTCAAGTAGGTTAACTTGGATAACAACCGATCCAAAAATAAGTTACACGTTCTTAATGAATATATATAATTTAAAAAATAATGAGCAATTTTAATTGAAGCCACAAAGATTTAAGCAGCGCTCATTATAACATTGTTATTTATGAAATTATTTTCATGTTCGAAATATTTTGACAAGTTTCATAAAAAACAATTTCTCAGAAAAACTAATCTGCAAATTATTATCGGATAATTTCATATACGTTAAAAGATTTATCCAGAAAAAAAATCTTCCTCATAATTTTCATTTTTTGTTATCCATTTTAACTTTTGCGAATGAGTTGACGGTTGATTATTCATTTGCAATTGAAACTATTTGGCACATTGCAATCTTGCATAAGCTGAATAAAAGTATTAATATTCTATCTTAATAAAAACTTTTAATTTATTATTTGCATTCATGTTTGGAACTTTATCATTATAGTGCATTTAATTAGCATATGTCAAATATACAGCAATGTATCGGTAATACACACAACATATAAATAGATACTCGCAAATTCAACCTGGCGTGCACTTCTTTTATGATAGACTGGGATTGTTCGAATTTTGAACTTCCTTGCAGAAGCAGGCGCCCTTAATTATCATTATGTTATTTCTTTTCAGTGTGTAACTTGTTTATTAAGTACATCCACTTAAACGTTAAAATAATTTGTACTAAAACTGCCAGGCTCTCCTATGATTCAAATAAGCTGGAACACATATTAAAACATGCCACAGTCGCAAATTCCACCGAGAAAGAATACGCTGGAGTAAGTGAAAAACAAATTGATTCTCAAAAGAAATACAAATTATGAATAGTTTGTTCGAATATTACAACTAGAATGGCTGAACTGGAATAAGGCTCCTATGTTTTGATATATTTATGTATTTCTTTTTTATGTGTATAATCGTATCTAACCATGTAGATGCTCGTATACACCAGTCGACAAATAGAGCTACGGCTCCATTCGGATTTGTATCTGAAAAAGTCAAACCCGATCAGAGGTGTTTAAATCCGTTTAAAAAACTTGACATCTTTTTTGCTCAACACTCAATTTTTATCAAGTTTTGCTATTAAGAACCAGAGGTTTTATGCAAAATTTGTCATAATTTAGTTGCTGTGGGAGAGGCTTAAATTGTTTTCAGTCTAAATGTTCTCAAATTTATGAAAGAACTTTAATCATTTTAGTCTTAATCCTAGAAAGATTGTTCTATGTGTGAGGTTTCAATCCCATCCTTTGCAATCCATTGCCTACGCCTCTTAATCCGAAATAATCCTAATGGCGATGCGATTGGTTTTAACGTTTAAGAAAATTTAAAACCCTCAAATTTTTAATATAACCAACACAGCTAAAAATTTTCTTGGACGAGAACATGAGTAAGGCTGATACACGACACAAAATGGAAGTTTTGGACTTTTTCCAGATAAACATGAAGTGGAAGAACAAGTTGGAAGAAGAACTTGTCCAATGGCTCGAGGATCAGTAAATGATGGATAGATGGTAAGGTGGATTGAGAGTCATTTTTGCTACTTTTTAGAGTTTCGCCATTTACACTATTAATACTGCTATCAATGACATAATAAACAAAATTAAAGAAAAAATAATTTTTAAAACAATTTTTATTCACTAATAACACAGAATACTCCTTGCCATCTACAGAAACATTGATATAATTTGTTTTTTTAAAGACTTCAAATTTAAAATTTCCAAACTTTAATATGTTTTGTTGATAAATTTGTGTAATAAAAAATTCATCAATTCAAACGGTTTTGTTTGTTGATTTGTTACTTTATGATATAAAACCGTACATTTTGAAATACATTCGCAAATAATATTTTTCATTTTGGAGAGTGCAGTAAACAATCATCTTATATCGATAATATATTTTTTATTAAAGTCTCTTTTCAATATTATAAAAAGTCCGCGTCACGTAAACAAAAAAACACCAGCTGTTAAGAAACAATTATTTTATAGCAATCTATGATTCTAATCAAAATCAATAAATATTTATCAAGTGTGGTTTTTTCATCTGTTAAAAAAACACAAAATCATTGGACTGAAAATTTTTGAGAAACTGTTTTGTGGAAATCGTTAGCAAACAACCTAATGCACAATTTAAACTTCATATTTCACATCAAACTATTCTTTTTTAGCACATAATTTTTTCCTAAATGTCCAACGTCTTAAGTTTGATTTAATGAAAAATAAGAATTATCTAGTTTCATTTTGTACACTTTGTCTTGAGAATACAAGTGGAATTGGTTATTGAAATTAGCTGACAATATTTATTAATATGTTCCTTTGAAGGTTATCAAAATTTAGTTCGAATTTGATTTCCGCATTTTAAATTTTGTTTTGTAAGAAACATAAAGAAATAAATTCCACAATAATTCCAGCACTTCGATAACAGTTAAAAAAGCCGAACCTAAAAGAAGTCCCAAAGCTCCACCAATGTCAATCAAGAGCGCTATCTCAGAATAAGTAGCTATATCTGTAAACTTTGTGAAATGCATGCTACTGGAAAACACTTTTAAATTTAAGAAATCGTTTGTAAATAAGGGATGCTGCGAATGTTTTTTCAACCATATTTTGCTAATATTGGAAAGTTTCGATTCTGTGACTGAGGCATGGTAGTAAATTTCATTGCACATTGGAGGACAAAAGAAACAATGAACGTCGCCAAATTTTCCATCTCTGTAATTTTTTTTTATGTCATTGACGAGCTCTGAAAACAGCATGGTTGTGAATATAAGCAACTATAACAATGATACAAATAGGTTCATCATTAAACAACCTTCTATGTAGATGGGTCTGCAGTTGCAGTTGTCGATGATTGTCCTGGCTAGACACGCTTGCTCGCATTTGACTTGCTGGTAGTTTAATTGATCGATGCAGTCTCCGTGCGGATGTTTCAAACGAGTCATCTGTGTGGTGAATGACGTCAAAAGACTAAAATTTATTAAAGGAGTTTGTAGTAATTTGAAACTTTAAAAAAGAACGATACTGAAAAAAGTTTTTTCAACATTAGTAACAGATACAGCAATATCGGCTTCTTCCCCAAAGTTCACTCTGAGACTACGTTGCTGCATTAGAAGCGGCTCATTTTGGTCGTGAATCAAAACATGAAATTCAGTTCACAGTCTGTAATATTAATTTTGCGTAAACTAAAGATATTATCACTTGAAAACAGTACAAAAAATGAACTTAAACATGGAGTATCATAGCCATATATTTGCTGTGGCGAGTGCTTCGAGGTTATTTTGATTTCCTTCAAGCAATTCAACCCATATTTATTAATTTTTTACATGAAAAAACAGCGTTTTTTTTAATTTTCAGTTATGTGGTAGGCAATAGACAAATTACAAAAACAACTTCATAGAAACATTCATCACAGAGTCTAGTCTCTAGTCTAGTTTAGTCTCACATGCATCCGATGCTAAGTCTATTATTTAAAAAAATTATCTTTACTTTGTATCCGGACGAATAATCTTTTAGAATGAAAAAGTCAGATTGGTTTGCGTGTAAAACTATTTGAAAACCCATTGTAGCTCCAGGTCCATTTAGTAACAGGCTAACATTTTCTGAAGTTGGAAAATTAATTTTTAAACAATAACTGAGTAGGTTTTTTGCATAGATCAACTGAGATACAAATATCAAATTAGTCGTTTTGCGATATGAAATAAATTTAAAAGTTAAACAAAAAAATTAAAAATATCGAAGCAATTCATCGAACTTGAATTAAATGCAAGACTTTGCCCTACACTTGTGAACACAGTGTCAATGCCCTCTATTGGGAATTTGCTGGCATTCCAGTACATCTACGTTGAATTTACTAATATTTTTAAAAATAAATGTTTTCATGAATTGATGATTATAACTAAACTTATATTATTTCAGTTAATGAAATAAATATGGAGTTGTGATGTATATGTATGCAGATGGTGCAAATTATGAACTCAGATAGGGATAGTGTGGTATTGCAGAAGGGATTGAATGATTTGAATGAGTGGTGTTTGCAGAATGATGTTAAATTGAATAAAGAAAAATGTGTTGTGATGAAGTTTGGTTGTTCTGTATCGGATAATAATTATGATTATAACATAAGCTCGCACCCATTACTTTTTGTCGCCTCTTTTTCATTTAAGCTGCAAAAGCGGTAGTGGCGTTACATTTCATTGTAGTATCAGTAGCAATAGCAGCGATCCTTTTCACGAGTAGCCTTAGCAGCCCTGGTTATTATCATTTTAATTCACTCATTTCAAGGTGTCAACATCATACATAGATCAGTATCAAAGGTTAAAACTAAAAAAAATAACATATTTATTCCAGCTTCCAATATTCACGCTGTTGAATAGTTGAAACATTTCATGAAAGTATAAACGGATGATGCCTACATTTTTATTTTCTCAAACATCTAATGACTCGCCAAATATCTACTTGAGTTAGTGCAATGAGACTGAAAATAATGAAAGATTATAAATACTTCATGTTTAAAAATGTTCACCGTAATACTAATATTTTAAAACTAAAACTTTGTAGATGACTTTTTGATTGGTTTCAAGTTTTAGAACACATTAAGAATGAATTTGAGTTTTATTAGAACTAATTTTGATTTAAATAAAATATTGTAAAAACAACCACAAAGATCACAAACCCAATAATTGATATGTCATCAAAGGACTTTATTAACTCTGCTTTCACATAAACTCCAACAGCTTCGGCAACGGTGTATGTTGTTTCCATATTTTTGTGACTTTTAATTTCTTGAAAAAATTCTTTTTGTTTCACCACAACTGGTTGATGATGGCAAGGATTTTCCTTCTGCGATGGTAAAAATATCATCAAAGCAGCGACAATGTTATTATTTAATACTAGTGCCTTACAATTCTTTTTAATATTCCTATTCTATGTTACAAATTTATAAATCTACATTTTATTATTGTCACAACTGTAAAATTTCATCTGTGGATAATTTTATAAATCTCACTCTTACCTTTTGCAATGCCATCTTCATCATCCTGATTAACAAAGAAGATTTTTTCAAAATTTGATTGGTTTAATGCAGCATGTGTTAAACATGAGTTAGCCTGAGACGACGGGCTACTACGTTCCAGTCGATAAGAACTTTCTCTAATTTCTTCAGACATGAATTTTGTATTTAGATGAAACATTAAAAAATCAAGTAGCATAAAAAGCCATAGAATATAAACAGTGGGAACGGAGATCGGCTCAGAGTATCAACTGAATGATTGTTGGTTTAATCAAAGGGCTTTTAAAGCATCGTTACCTTTTTTGGCTTGATTAATGCCACTAATGTAAGCATGATCAATGATGCTAATTGCTCGTTTTGTTTGCATTTAAGCAAAAGCATTGAGCCGCTGTTCCATTTGTTTATATCATTTTGATTTTTAAAGTACAAAAATGTAGAAGTAACAAAATGAAAAAAAAACTGCTAACTTTATTATTTCACCATTATTATTAAAGATTTGAAAATTTATTTTATTGGGATGGAAAAATTTCAATGTATGCAAATTTCTGACTTTTCAAATAATTTTAAACGAATTTTGATTCTGACTAGATCACACCGAACACGCACTTATCAAAGTTTGGAAAAGTTTTTAACTAAAAAAAAATAAAAAACTTTTCACATTACAAAAGCATAAAATTTTATTTGCGGATTATTTTTTGTGATTCAATTATTTCAGGCTGTGGTGAAACTTAACTTTCTGCAAGATCAAACTATTCCAACTATCAGATTATCTATATGAAATTTGTCTAGATACCCAGGTCTGTATGCCGTTAAACACGTTTAAACATGTTCAAATTATAAAACATTAAGTTTTAGTAAAAATGTAACAGTTTGAAAGGCATTTTTTGTTCAGTTAGAACTGCAACTATGATTTGATTGAATCTCATTTTAGATCACGTCTGTTGCCCACATGTTGAAAGATGTAGTGAGACCTGAAAACATTAAAAAAGCATTGAACAACTGCCTAACAAATCACCAATATGGTTATATTGACAAATTCGATTTGTGGGAATCGTTCACTCAGCAGGTTACAAATTTGGTATCTTCACTGGTTTTTTTACTTATGTGCATGTAACTCGGTTTACAAACGAATTCTGAATTCTTCTGTGAAACGTTTGCAAATGTTTTTATTTTCTGACTTTTTCAAATAAAGCTTATGATTGTGTTCAATGCAGACTTTGAAGACTTGTTCAAATCCAACGTTAGCATGTTACAAAAATAAATTAAACCATCATAACAAATTGTAGACTGTAGGAACAAACTTTGTCAACGTCATGCGAATGATGGACAGCTGGACGTTACAAGGTGGTCTGTCAGTTGTGACCATCAGCATGAACGGACGCATGGTGACCTTCCAACAAGAAAGATTCCTAATCTCTGATAACTTAAGTCTTCTTAGTTCTAAGTAAGATTTATAGAAGGTTTAATTGAACGTTTTTTAATTGTAAAACAGATTATAAAGCAGAAAACAATCGTAATTTTTCGATAATAACTGTGAGAAACAAAAATATTAAAATTGTTTTCATTGAGACATGGCACATCCCATTGACATTTGTCGCTAGCAGGCATTCAGTTGGTTGTCGCCTAGTTTACATGAAAACAAAAATATGTGAGCATCGTATTGATAATTTAACAATTTCTGACAATTATTGTTAGCTAGCTATTAGTTGTTAATGATTTGATAGGATATCATATACAAATTTACTGCTGTTGTTTTCAAACGACCTTTTTGGCGAACAAGGCCTCCGCGGGTGGGCTGCATAAAAATGATAAGAATGTTGTCGGTGCTTCCAAGTTTGATAACGTTTCTCAGATTTCGACTGAATTGTATTGCCTAGTTTAAGTTGGCTATTGATGTATAAAATAACGTTGTTAATGTCTAATATTGTAAATGGTGTAGCAGTTAAATATTTAAATGATAATGAAGATGTCATCTTCCAGAACATAAAAAAGTGATGACTTTAATCTGCCTAAGGATCTCATTGGTAGATAGGTTTACGGGATTTCAAATAGTAGGCAGACAGGTTTACATTATGTTAAGTAATGCTGCTAAAACTGTTGCCCTTCTTGCAATATGTTTTGTTAAAACTTATTTTTTACAGTTTTTTTCTAAAAAGCAGAAGCAGTCCAAATTGACATCAATAAACCAAAATTTTCTGTCAGAAGCATTAACATCAAACACACATTGCATGTAAATACACGTGAAAAAACGCAACACACACATTCCATGTGATGAGCTGGATTTCTTTGCAATTGAACCAGGTCCCTGCAAGAGCATTGCCAAGCACTTACTGTTACACCATCGCGCCAATATCAAATTTTTATCACGTTATATTTTAAATATTATTTTCATTGTTTCAATTATTTTTAGTGATCACAGCTAAATAATGTTTAAAATATTTTCTCATTTAGGGAAACTTTTTTTTACCAGTTTTCAATGTTTTCATAAAACGTCGGCAAAATCAAAAAAATGATTATAGCAGATATATAAAAACCTATATGCCTTATTTCGAGAATTATTTCTGTACAACGAGCTTTGTATTAGTATGTTAAGTTTGTATGTATAGTCTTCTTTATTATGCAACTCTTACATACTTTGTGTGTGTATAATATTGTGATAAATTTATAGATATAGATATTTATGTATCTATATATATGTATATATATATTTATTTATTTATTGATGTATATATATGCAGAATTGTATAAATTTTACCAAATTGTTGGCATTAATCTTTCGAAAATCTGCCTTTTCACTTTTCCTTACTAGAATTTTCTTAAATGCTTCAATTTATCAAAAATAAAATTATTATTCAAGTTCATGATGAGAAATCAGAACATCACTATCCACCAGTCTCTATGTGTCGTTGAAAAGCTCGCAGTTCAGAGAAGAACTCTGAACTCTCAAAAATGTGCGATATTTGAAAACAAACCTTTCCAATGAAAAAGAATGAACTTAGAAAAATAAACAAAACTCAACAGAAATGATGCATAAACAATTTATACCTTCACAGAAAAAATAACAACCAATCCAAAATAATAGTTTAAAAGTAGGAATATTATTAGCGTATTGTGTATAATTATTATGTATAATATTCATCATAGTTTCGATGTCTTGTATTAATTAGACTATCATAATAACCACTTAATATTCAATATTGATGTCCAAATATCGACCATAGTTGTTTATTTTCCTCTTTACGTTTTTCATCTTCCTCTCTACGTCTCTTATCTTCCTCTCTACGTTTTTTATCTTCCATTGTACGTCTTTTTCCTCTTTCTAGCCAATTTTCAAGTAGAAATATCTCGTTAATCTGAAGTTCACTTTCGTCACTAACAGTGAGCTTATGCCCATCTCGGCTATCTGGTGCAGTTTCATCGACAGGTAGAGAATCGGCGGAGTTTGAAGTTAGGATGACGAAGATGATGAGAAAGGTGAAATGAAAGGCAAAGAAAGGGGATTCACTCTTTGGAAATAATATCTTGTTGAAGTTTGTAAGTGTACGTTGTTTCTGCTGTTGCCGTTTATTTTTTGACCTGAAAAATTAATTGTTAAAATTTTTTTTGTAAAACAATATAAATAAAATAAAATTATATATTTAGAAATACCTATTCATAAAAAAGTTATTATTGCTGCTAAGAACGGATATTTCAAATATTTAAACACCGTCATTCATTACATGTTTTGTTAAATGATCTGAAAATCAATCTTATTAATTTATTAGAAAATTTTGTTTTTTATGGTTGAAAATTACATAATAATTTGAATTAAAATTAAATAAACAGTTACTTAAGAAAACCTGGACGTCGGTGAGCTCTCGAATGGCAGATGTGTAACATTTCATAACCTGAAACAGAGGACATTTGCATATATGCCTCATCAGATTTATCATATTAATATTTAAAAAATTTTAATATCTCATTATGTTTCTCTCCCGCGCGCACACACACGCACACACACACTTACATACAAGTACACACGCACTCACGCACACACCTACGAGAAAGAGGGTCAGGAAATTTGTGGCACTTTGTGGCGAGGGGGTGGGGACTTGCGTGACATCCCGTCCACACTTTTTCAATTCCATCGTGATTGATGGATGACAAATTTTTTGAATCAAAAACATTTTGGTTTTTTTTCGTACAAAGATGAACATACGCGTCAAATAAATTTGCATCTTTGATTTTAATATTTTTTATGGAGTCCTGTTCGTGTTTATTTAAATTCAACATACAGAATGTAGTTGGTTTTAACTTGAATTATATGGGGGTGGTCTAAAATTTTGTGACCGTTTGTGGCAGGGAGGAGAGAAAATCAACGGCTCCGTAGGTTTCTTGTGATAAATGAAAATGTTTCTCTTAAGAGAACTTATAAAACAATTATTGCGTACAACTTGCTGGTTCAGCTTTCTACATTTGCAGGAAAATTAATAATAAATTCATTGTAAGAATGTATAAGTCCATGTCGATGAATGCATCACTAAAAGATCTTCCAACGGCGTTTTGAACATGGTTGGAGTACGAAGGTGGGTTTGGTCATCTGAATACTTAAATACGTGCATACGGGGGTGAAGGTTAGTTTATACTGGATGTTGGACTGTTAACGACACATTTTGCATTTTGTTCATAATCTTCAATCTGCAAAGGTCATCATTTTAGAAAAAATCATTTTAGATCTTTTGGATACATATGCAGTTTTTTAAATTTCTTTCAAATATTTTTTTAAGGTTTCAACAAACACATACAACTCATATGAATTTGAATATATGCATAGATTCATGCATTACACACATGTTGCATGTGACAGACTGACATTTTTCACCACCACCACCATCACCACCTTTCTCATGCTCATCATTATCATAAACATTATGATCGTCGTCACAAACGACATCAACATCAGCAGCAGCTGCTGCAAAGACCCATCAACTCTTCAATTGCACCCCCGTCAACCAACATTCAAATTCCTTTCGCATTCGAATCTGGTTCTTCCTACAACAACAGTCTCAGGCATAAACATGTTGAGCGCGGTTTCATGTCTTCCGAAACGGGAAGCAAGTTATTAATTTTTATACAACTGCCATGTGACTCGCTCCACAAACATTGGAACTCATCGTTGCCGTTTGATTATAAGTAGCTACGGAATTTTAATCACAGAGATTTGGCAAAATCTTTCAATATATCCTTGGTATTGACGGTTGCCAGGTTAGATTTCCATTCACGCAAATATTATGCGCACTGACATAGGCCCGATACTCGGTTGAACTCTCACACGTCTTCTCAACAAATAAGTAAGTTCATTCAGTTTTTTTTATATTTTTAACACAAGATATACAAAACAAAAAAAAACATCTAGAAATCTAAAATCCTTTCAAAAATGACATTATTCTTTTAAAATATATCATGAAATCAAAATGTCGAAATCGACTCGGAGTTGGTTGGAGATTTTTTTGAAGTCTGACTTCTTCATCCGACTCCAACTCCGGAATTCTGATAGAGTTTAAAATTATAGATTATTTAATATGATTAATTAAAAATATATTTTATTTAGTTGTGAAAATTTTTTTAAGATCGTGTTTTTTAGGTAATAAATAAGTATTACCTAAATATGTTTAGCAATGTGCAATCATCTTTCATACTGAAAGTAATTCAATTCAATTTTATTTCAATTAATCCAAAAAATGAAAATGATTCGAAACCTAAAAAGAAATTAAATTTATGTGAACCAGGCCACCATCTGTCATAGTTGTATACATAGATTGAGCAACAAATTTAAACATATAGATAACAGAATCAATTAGCAATCGCAAATAATTAAAGAACAAAAATCAAGTTATTACAAGACAAATAAACAAGGAACCTTTTTTGATTAGGTATTTCTTTAGTTTGTTTTTAAAAAGGTGCAAGGTATCAATGTTTCGTATTTCTAACGTTATTGTTTCCCATATTACAGGGCCTGTTGTTTCAAACTCCTGCTAAGTAATGTTATTACCCTTGGTGATGGCGTGTAAAGTAGTGGCGAGTACATCCCTGTCGTACCGTGTTTCCAAAAGTGAAAAAACCAAAGAAGGATGCCGTTAGCGGTTAGTTGCTGGTGTAGAAACTTAAAAATTTTTAATATGTAAACTCTTCATATTTAAAATTTTTAATTCCGGATAATAACTTAATATATAAAAACGTAAATGTAGATTTTGTAAAATTCTAGTAAAACGATTCTGACTCCGAGATACGAAGGTAATGTTCGCGACGGTTTCGGCTACGGTGAAGCATATCTAACAGGCGGAACCAATCATGTCAAATTGGCTGAACAGTTTTAACTAATATATCTTTGTTTAATGTTATTAAAAATTAATTTTGTGGTAAACTCTTAGCACTCCACGCTTATGTTGTTTACATAGAATAATGTTAAAGACTTTTAAATTTGACTCCGCCCTTCATTAATATTCATGACCAACCGAAGCGTTTTATTTTTTTGCAATTTGTAAATTTTTTAACCGAAGCGCTTCATTTTTTTCTATTTGTAATTTTTAATGATATTCTAATATCATCATTTTTAAAAAGTGTTATAAACATGAGAACTATTATTTAAAATGCACACATAAATGGATTTTTGGCGTTATTTTAACTTTCTCGTTACCGGTGACGCGAATTTAGAAATGTATGGGTGACGCGTTTAATTCAATATTTGGGGATGTGCACGAAACGGGAGATTGTTTAGTTTTATATGATATTTTAGAAGATGAAAATGTCTATCAGAATATACAAGTATTTTTGAAATGGACACATAAATGGATTTTTGGCGATTTGTTAACTTTCTCGTTACCGTTGATATATTAAAATATAACGATTTGATGATGGAGTCATATAGTAACACACACAGACAAGCACACATATTTACACAGTAATGCATACAGGTACATTGTTCGTGTGTTAAGACGAAGCAATTACTTTAAGACCCATGATTGTTATATCAATACTGTCGATAAAACCATGGCCTATTTTCGTCAACTAAGATTTCTAAGATTTTGTCAACTTATAGCACCAGGCTACCCAAGCGCGGCTATCAGCTCCTCTTCTGGGGTTTCAGTGAACCTGCCATTATGAAATATAATCTCAAATGCAATGGAATTCATGTTAAAATATATAATGAATACCTCGTTTTTTGTTTCTAATTATATACATCTTTTCTTGCTACAGGAAAGTTTGATTGATGTAGGAAATTTGTTACAAGTGTTGAGTTTGCACTGGCATCCAACATATTTTTAGCCTGCTCCAAAGCAGCTCCTACAGGGCGTCGGTTATTTGCATATAGTGCAAATACAGATGTACCAACATCATGGATGTGCTCCAAACACATCTTCTTAATAATAAACTCCTAAAATGTTTAAGCAGCCATTACAAATATTGCTATAACAATTTACCATTTCATTATTGAATATTTCAATTTTTTAAATATTATCACTATTAATAAACAAAATTTAATTATCATTAGTCATTAAAAATTTCAATTACATTTTTAAGTATTATTATCAATATCAACATACAACAATAAACAAAATTTAATTATCACTAATCATTATTAAATATTTCAATTTAAATTTTAAATTATCACAATCAATTTAATTTTTAAAATATTATCACAATCAATAATCAACAATAAACAAAATTTAATTATTGTAAAAAATACTTTTACTATCTTCCGATTTTTGCAGTATACCACATAAACTGCTGCAGTGCAACCACACAACAAGAATGCCTGGTTAGGTCGTGTCCCAGTTTTTTTCAAATTTGCAGACGGCTTTACATTTCCATAGTGCTTACAGACCCACCTAACCCTAGTAACCATTGTCGAATATACAAAAATTGGCATTATTTAAAAATTTTAAATATTAAATATTCATAATAATTGAAATTAAAGCTTGAAAATATTTTAAATATATAAAAACAACCTCTGACGGTATTGCATATCTGGATCAAGATCAACAATTTTGGTGCTTTCCAGAAGACATTTCTTGTTAAAATTTTTAACGTTTTCTTTTGTGTCACGCTTCATTGAATGGTAGTTTTTTTTAAATTTTTGTCACTTCAACCGCTTTTTCAACATTCACAAATCTATCTCCCAACTTTAACGACTCGGAACTTATTTTCTCAAATTAGTGATGAAATAACAAATTTAATTTTATTAAATTAAATCAAACAAAACAATCAAAATCAAACGAAACTAACCGCTCACAACTGAAGGAAGAAGGAAAATGAACTCTTGCCAAAGATAATAAATATTAGTATTACGATGCGCAGATAAAAATTTATTTAATAAAAATTTATTTAAAAAAAATGTTTTTTCAATTGTAAGTAACGGAAATGTTTACAAATACTTGTTAAAATAATATTCGGCATAAAAAATGTTTTGAACGTATTTTTTCGTTTGCACGATAAACTGCAATAATCTTAATAAAATTTACTAATAAAGCATGCTGTGTTTCAATGTCCAGACAAAAAATATTAATATTTTCATCATCGAATTGACTGTTTTCATCTACAGCATTTAAGTTTATGTTTTCTTTTGGATTTATTATATTTTCTAAAAATTCTTTTTCTGTATAATCTTTATACTCATTCTGATTTAAATATTTATCTCTCACCTCCATCATTGTTTATTATTTAATGACTGCTTTTTAATTATTCTTACCTTTGAGACTCAATCCCCCACTACTACTTGAGAAAGCCATATTTCAGGATTTCGCATTTTATCTGTGTCCTCTCTGTTAATACAAACCCGAAAAGCAGTTGATTGATCAGGATTTTCATCTTTGTCAATAATGCGCTTTTCGGTTGTTGTTAATATCTTCCGAGAAACGCAAGGAAAGGTGCGTGTGTACAAGATATGATTGGGTAATTAATTGAATGTTGAATCGAGTGAAGGATTTTAACGTTGATTGCTCTACTTTATACAGCGCCAGATCAAATTAACAATTAAAATACGCACGATGAACGATAACGCGTATAATGCTTTATATTTGGGAGAGCATCTCCATCATCATTTTTATCTCTGAAATCTCTAAAACAGCGATTAAATGATCTTGAAAACCGTCGTCGTCACTCGTTAAATCGTGACAATATGATGTCACGATCATAATGTCATAATCATCGGTGCATAATCTGAAAACAGTTCGCCCATATTGTAATCATCATATTCATCATCATCCGGGTATTATTTAGCCATAGTTATGACAATATAATGAAAATTCTTAATAAAAAATTCAAAGGTCTAATTACAAAATGCAAAGATCAATTAACAGTGTCATTGGAAACTGTTTGAGCTGTTGGTTTGAGAAAAATGCACATTTTCCCATCAATTTTGTTCACTTCAGGATTTAATTTTTCGAGTAAGTCTGCGAAGCATGCCTCGAGTTGATTCTTGAGAATTTATTTATTTTGTTATGTTTGGAATGTAGCTTCTTCCAAAGAGGCCTCACTGTTTGATGCGAAGGTTTGCTTTGCAATTTGAGAGGAAAAAGAATCCATCATGGCCTCCTTCGCAAGCAAACTTGTGGCGGAAGGATCCATTTTTTTGTTTTTTATTTGTAACGTCAATTGTTGAGACATCTGATTTTGGCTGCATAGAAACTGATGCTGGTTTTCCATAATTCTGTAACTGATCGTTATCCTCATCAATGTCAGAGCTGGATGACAATGATTTGGCGTCTGATTCTTTGCTAGCTTTTCTATTTTTTTGTCTCGTCATTTTTTATGATATCGTCATTTTTATTGTCATTATCTTTTATGTTTTCCCCATCATCTTCATCATCGTCTGAATTAATAAGTTTTCTAAGAGCCTCCTCTACGACATTTGCATCTTTGTACGTGTCAATATGTTATGTTAATATGTTAATAACTCAAATTAAAAATTTCACTTGTAACAATTTAACGCTAAATAATGAAACGCAACCAACTTAACGCAACGAAATTAACGCAAATCACAACTATAACGTCAATAAATCGAATTCACAACGTTACTTTCTAAGAGACAACACCAAAGTCCATTCACTTGAAAATCTGCTTTCAACTCGTTCAACACACATTCCAAAACAACAACTGTACAGCTTTCTACTACATTCACAGCTAGACTTTCCATATAACATTCGTATATGCACTAGTACTAGAATCAAATATACAGATCGTTTATCGCCATTCAATCTTATATTTCACGCGTATATAAAAATTGCATCAGTCCTGACAGTAATTATTATTTGACAGATAATAATAACACCTAAGTTGTTCGATTAAATTATTTCATATGAATGCATCACAATACTGTAAAACTAATGTCAAAATTCATATATTCAAGTATGTAAATTCATATGTTCAAGTATATAAAATCAAAAAAAATACGATTTCAATTTTTATATTTATGTGGAGGAGGAGCTTTCTTTGGCATTTTAAAAGCTGCTTTTGTCATGAGTTTGTTCTTTGGTTCGTTGGATGTTGCAGAATGTGGAGCTTCTCTTTTCTTTCTTCTATCGGGCTCATGTTCGTCACCGCTAGAGTCAGAGAGATAGCTTGCTAATGGAGAGTCATCATCATCAAAACTTTCCTGCTTTCGTTTCGTTCCTCAGTTCACTTTGTTTTCACCAACGTATTTCTCTGATGCTGTCGTTTTTTTCCCGCTTCCATTAGATCGGCGTTACAGCCTAGTTTGTCCTTTTCATATTCAGTGACTTTGTTCTTTATGTAGTGACCAAAAAATTTACTCAAATCCATCTCGTCATCACTGGCTGTATCATCATAATGTGAGTCATCATCTGAAACCTCATCAACACACACACACACACACACACACACACACACACACACACACATATATATATATATATATATATATATATATATATATATATATATATATATATATATATATATATATATATATTATTATTATTATTGAAACATGTATAAGCGCTAATTAAAATCAAAAAGTTCTCAAAAGCGCTATCTATAATCAAACAAAGTCAAAAAAGAAAAAAGTACAGTCAATGGCGGTAGTAACAAACAAATAACTTAACAACAAAATCAAAGTGAAAATAAGTAAGTTTTGAGTTTCTTTTTAAAATCATCAAGTTTCAAATCTTTAGTTCTAAAAGATCTCGGTAAGCTGTTCCAAACCATTGGTCCAGATACTGCAAAATCTCTTGATGCTATCTGCAGATTGACATCAGGTACAACCAGCAAAATGCCATAATCTGATCTAAGGTTCATACCACTCATCATTATAGACTTTTATTTTATCTATCAAATAACTTGGTAACAAGCCACGCACAGTTTTATACATTAAAATACATATTTTATATTTAATTTTTTTCTTTATAGTAAGCCAATGAAGGCTCTTAAGAATTGGAGTAACATGGTTAAATTTGAGACCTCCGACAATCAATTTGGCTGCTCTATTCTGAATAGATTGAATTGCAGAAATAGACCTATCTGGCAAACCGTAAAACAGACCATTGCAATAGTCCAATCGTGAATGAACCAATGCATGCACCAAGGTATGAATAGCAGATTTATCTAATGACTTACGGAGTTTATAGAGTTCTCGAATCTGTCCGGAGCAAGAATTTGTTATCGTCTTTATATGATCATGCATCGATAATCTAGAATGAAGAATGAAACCCAGATTAGTTGCTTTGTCACTAAATTCTATTTTAACATCTCCTATTTTCACTGAATCGATATTAAGTTTCATCAGCTGCTGCCATGTACCTATTGGAACAAATTTTGACTTCTGCTGATTTAATCTAAGACCATTGTTTGACATCCAATTATCTATGTTATTTAGGCAGGTTACAAGTTTGTTGATTTCAGATTGCAGTAATTCTGGCTTATTACTAACTATAATCTGAATATCATCAGCATAAGCATGATATTTAAAACCGAAATTACCAATTACTTTAAAAACTTTAGCGGTATACATGATAAAAAAGAATAGGCCCAAGCACTGAACCTTGTGGCACTCCTGATGTCAAAACCGTTTCATTAGATAACACATTATTGAAGACTACTTGTTGCTTTCTGTCAAACAGATATGATCTGAACCACTTGATAACAGTACCGGAAATACCATAATCATGAACCAATTTTTCCAAGAGAATCTGATGGTCTACACAATCAAATGCTCCACTCATATCTAAAAACGCGACTAGAGTCACATGTTGTTTGTCCAAAGCAGCAAACAACTCAGAAAACACATAAAGCAGTGCAGTTTCCGCTGAATGATAGCGGCGATATCCAGACTGGTGAACTGGTAGCAGGTTGTTTACATTCAAATGATTCAAGAGCTGTTTCATTTCATTTAGTTGAGCAACAAATTCATTTTTAGACGCATCCATTGACTTAGGCAAAGAACTAACATCTTGAGACAAATCAACACAGCGTTGACAAAACCATTTTAAACCTTTAACACTTTTCAAAATTTCAAGAATATCATCGTTAGTTTCACATTTATTGTGAACAAAAGTCTTGCAACAAGTGCATGACAACAAATCTTTACTTGGAACTTTTATTGTACACTTCGTACAACAGTAGCGACTACCGGACGACATTATCGAATTTATTATTATAATTAATTACGCTTACTATCAGGGAAATTCCTATTACGTGACAGCAATTTACAAACAATATATTATCAAATTACACTAAAATAATGAATTTTACAAACTAAATTTTATATAAAATTATTCAAAAATCTAATTATGTTAATCTATCCAAAAAAATATCAATAAACGATTACTTTTAACGACGAAAACACCAAAATTAACTGACGAAACGACAATATCAACCGTCCATACGACTGTTTAAAACGATGTGTATATATATATATATATATATATATATATATTGTCAGAATTCAGTTAGGCAGCTTCGAGTAATCAGTGCCTATTCTGGTATCTAAGAGACTTAATTCGTGATTCTATGCTCATTGGCATAGTTTCAGAAACGTCTTAAGTTCTCAAAAGTGGATTTGGTACGAGACTCTACGCTCATTGGCATAGTTTTGCACGCGTACTAAAGTCACACAATTTGTTTCCAGTGTTGTTCTGACTCTTGTTGTTTTGTGTTGGTTGTGCGAAAGCCGACCAGACTCGACGGCCCAGTGAAAACAGGCCAGGGTTGTGCGAAAGCCGACCGACTGACAGACAGGCCAAGTGAAAACAGGCCCTTGGTTGTGCGAAAGCCGACCAGACTCGACGGCCCAGTGAAAACAGGCCAGGGTTGTGCGAAAGCCAACCGACTGACTGACAGGCCCAGTGAAAATAGGCCCTTGGTTGTGCGAAAGCCAACCAGACTTGACAGCCCAGTGAAAACAGGCCAGGGTTGTGCGAAAGCCGACCGACTGACTGACAAGCCCAGTGAAAACAGGCCTTGGATTCTGTGAAAACGAATCCGCCTCGTTGTTTTGTTTTTTTTGTGCTATTTATGGACCTAGGGTTCTTTGCTGGATTCTATACTCATTGGTATAGTTTCGCACGCAGCTTGGAATTTCCATAGGCTCCGATTTTTGTAATTTTTCTGCATTCATTTTATTTATTTCTCGGAGTTGTATCGACACCATCATCGGTCACACACGTCGAGGTTGTACGATTAAACGGCAAGAAACATATCCCAAGTCGAAGACCCAACAAGAAGAAGTTCTAATTCCTGTATCCCAGTTTGTTCATTGACATTATTTTTTTTCCATTATTCTAGAGTTCATTTAGTTCAATTCCTTTTCATTTACTTCCATCGATTAATAAAATTGTTATCGAATATTTTTATGCGTTCGTGTGTTACTCAGTAAAATCATATAATTCGAAAAAGCCCAGTGCCACACAGGACTGGTCGAACTCACGATAAAAATATACAAAAAAAATTATTGTCGGACCATAAAAAAAATTCCCTGAGAAAGATAGAGGAAGAGATTACCTCACTTCCAGTTGCAAATTTCCGACAATATATATATATATATATATATATATATATATATATATATATATATATATATATATATATATATATATATATATATATATATATATATATATATATATATATATATATATATATATATATATATATATATATATATATATATATATATATATACTGTCAAAAATACAATTATTGATGAAAATCACAGCATGTTCCGCGTTAGTTAGCTTTTCGATTTTTCAAGGTAATTTTCGGTTGATCGTAAATCATTCTTAAGTTTTTTGAGTTCTAAACCAAAATTTTTGTTTATTTTATGCATGATAGATAGAACAAAAAAACTTATTTCAGTATTCCTATACCATCTTCGTTGTTCGAAATGATACGTTGTGTATGTGGCCAGATGCTCAAATAAATATATATATATACTGTGTCTACTCTACTTGGTTAATTCCTTGTTTGTTCACTGGCAATTGATTTTTTTACAAATTTAAAGTGGTTTCTAAAATACGTTACCAAACCACCGTGCGCAGGATCATTTAACCTAACTTGGCCCAAAAAACTGAAATTACGGGGCTTTGCCAAACTGAGACAAATACTATCAGATGATTTATGCCAAATTTCTGTAACCATCGAAACATCTAAGCCATCATTGAACAACCCATGAATATTATCAACATTTGGACCCAAAGATCTAATGTTTGACAGACCCACCTTAACTTAATTGACATTATCAAAAGAATTGAAAATCATAGTCACATCAGGGTTAGTATGTTTTAGTATTTTATTAAAATTTTCTGTATTTTATTGTTCTTAAATTTGATGGATCTCCACTCACCTGTAAAAAAAATTTTCTTGACTGGTAAATTTGATAGCTTCTAATAGTTGTATAAATCTGTTCCTACTCATTTATTATACAAGATAAAAGTATATTTTTTGAGAAAAAATGGTCAGGGTCAAAATGACCCGGCTGGTAAAACATGCTACATTTGTCATAGCGCCTGTAAAAATTAACTAGGCAAAAAGTTTTTTAGTGAAATAAACACATCTTGAACATTTAGGAAAAGTCGTAAAACGATTTAAAATAATAATGAAAACTTTCTATTTTATTCAGTGCTAAAATTGATAATGGGTCAAATTGACCCCGTTGGTAATCTAAGGGTTACTTGGTATCGTTTTCTTTATCTTGGTTTTGTCATTCCTTTGTTCTTTATTGTTATTGAAGTTAGTTAGTATTAAGGCGTCGAGTTGGCAATGATGTTATCATTCTTTGTTGTAACATTATTTGGGTTTTATTTGGGGTTTATTGATATCTGTTAGGACAGCTTCTGCAATTTTTAGATGTATTGTATGGTATTTTGGTAAAACATTTCTGTGTCGTTGTTAAGAATTTGGCGGGTAATTGCAGTTGCATGTATTGATTGCAAGTGAGATTTGATGGCTCCTCTTTGTGCATGCATTGTGAGACTTGTTGATAGTGAAGTGGTCGTAACATCAATATATGAATGTTGTTGACGCGCACAGCACAGCCGTCAAAAGGGCATTTAAATTCATATATTTCATGGTTTTCAAGACCAATTGTGATATCTTACAATGATGTTTTACAATTATTGTGGTATATCCTGAGTTTTATTTTATTAGTATCATTGATTGGTGTAACATTTCTTTGTTTTGTTTGAAGACGACTTGAATTTTATGTTGACGTATGATTTCTGTATTATAAGATTAGGCCGTTGTCGTTTTTGTTTTTGAATATATTACTATCTTGCTGTAGTCTTTGTTGAATGGTGTTCTTAATGGATGATGTTTTGTAACCATTGCTTACTAGTAGATTAGTATTTTTTTCATCTCCGTATTGCGATCTTCAGTTGGAGATGAAAGTGTTAAGGAATGTTCGATTTAATATTATTTCGCTTTTGTTGTCGGATTATAAATCGGACAATTTAAGAAGAATAAAAATATTTTTATTTTATCAACTAAACAAACGTAACATGAGAAGAGGAAAAGTGAAGCAAAGTAGTAGTAGTAGTAGTAATAAATTAAAACATAGATATTAAATTTAATAAAACTAATTAAAAATGTAAATTGTTTATAATGTCTATATACTATATGACTATATACATTTAATCCCCTACAAATGCGTGAATGCACGGTTCACAAAGGATTTATTTGTACTGATGATGATGAAGGTTAATATGAGTTGTACTTATTTTGATTTGTTCCGTGCATTCGCATAACCTATTTAAACATATATTTTTATTTTTTGCTTTGGCGTAAGCGGCAGTTGTAAATCTTCATTCGTCATGCGTTACCAAAACATCCAGAAATGGCAATGAATTTTCATTTTTGTGCTTGATGGTGAGATTCAATTTTGATTGGTTCAGGGTTGCTAGTAGTTGGTTGACTTGCGCCGAATTATCGTATGCAACGAAGATATAGTCAAAATATCTGGCACAAATATTTGTTTTTAATTCCAGAATGTCTATAAATGTTTGGTTCACAAAATGTTTTAAAAAGAAATTGGCGAACAGGTCACCGAGTGGGTGAGCCCATGACTACACCGTCAATTTGCTTGTATAGCTTGTCCGTGGGGTTGTAGAAAGGTGCTTCGGTAGTGCAGATTCTGAGAAGAGATTTGAGATGTGTTTTTGGTATTTTTAATGGGACCATATCTGGGTGATAGAGACTATTTTTGATAATATCAAGTGCGTCATTGATGGGAATACTTGTAAACAAAAATTCGACATCCAGATATGCAGATATTTGTTGTGATTTGATTTCAAATTTAACAATTTCCAAAAAATTGAAATAACAAACTTTAAATTGATTAATGCCAACAAGCACACACACACCCTATTTAAAGTCATCCAAGTAAAATGCTGAAAAGCATGCTCCTAAATAATGAATTATCAGACTATTTCTTACTGCAAATTAGCCAAAGATCGACAACGTCATAAATGTGCACATTGAATGTTTACGAAAGAAACACGGTTCTGTTGAAACCTTACGTGACCCTTGCAATCATCAGGCCAAAGAACAAAAGCATTCGTAATAGTTCCATTTTAACACATTGAACAAGATCTGTTCTAACTTGTCTGACATTTCAACTGAACAGATCTGAACAGATATATTATATATATATATATACATATATATATATATATATATATATATATATATATATATATGTTGGTAATAGACCATAATTTTTACAATATTCTATAAATTTTACCGAACATATTAACGCCAAACATTTGGTAGAATTTATAGAGTATTGTAAATATATATATATATATATATATATATATATATATATATATATATATATATATATCACCGCATTTTTCTCATTCTTGAATTTGTAACTAAGTTTTTCAATTTTTTGTAGAATTATTTTATCGATATTATTCAATTTACTCAAATTAATAATAAAATTTCTAATTATTTTAGACCACGTTTTTCATATAAACATTAACATAATAGCTTTTTTTGGTTACCTTCACCATCATCAGTGTAATAGAGTTTGTGATATTGTATTATGTAGCTCATCTGGTATTTATAGTATTTTTAGCAAAGTTCCACAGTTTCTTTGTGTGAATAATTTCTTTGTTGGTAAGATCGTTACAGCCTGTTGTTGGATGTTTCTTACAGGGTTTTCTATTTTTTTTAATAAAGCCTCTGCCATTCTCAAATTGCTTATATTATAATTGTAAAATAACACTTTAGTATTTGAGTTTATCATTTCCCTCGTTATTTTTATTTGGTGGGAATCCATTAGATGATTTTTTATTGCACCATTTTTTATTGACTTAATTACACACTCAACAATGCGAAAAATGCGGTGATATTTTTTTATAACTGTATATACGGCAGTCTGTATATATATATATATATATATATATATATATATATATATATATATATATATATATATATATATATATATATGTATATATATATATATGTGTGTGTGTGTGTGTGTGTGTGTGTGGTGTGTGTCTGTGTGTGTTTCTATTTATTTTTAGTAATTATATATAGACAAGAAAAAATAAACAGACCTTGTTATATAGGCGTCTCAAAAAGAAATCTCGAATTAAAATTTTGATGAGTGGTTCTGTCCACGATGAACTTTTTCATTTTACTGTTGACAGTGCTGCCTGCCTTGTTGGCGGTCGTTTTAGGTCGGTGTTTCAAACTTTTTCAAATCTTTTATCAAACATTTATTCCAAAAAATATAAAAATTTCGTAATGGCAGACATTTTAATAGTTTTCATTTCAATTCAAATGAAACGTAAATTGATTCGAATGTGCAGCAATTCTACCTGGCAGCATCCTCTCCTTATTCATCCAGCCCAAGATTGAAGGATTCTTCTGCGGAGATGAATCAATCCGTCTTCCGCAGAAACCTGACAGCTTCACTAACCGCATGCTCGCCATGTTCGTCTTCCTTCCTTTCTTCACTGTGGTATTTATGCATTTGATGGGTTTCATTGAATTTTTTTCGAAAAGTCTCATTTTTTGAATTACCAATTTTGAATTATTAACGTGCTTCCTTTTTTATAATTTCTTTTAACTCCGTCTAAGTTTTTTGTATTTGTTGATATGAACTAGACATTTCAACAGTTTCGTGAGTTTGTTGCTGACGGGAAAATGAAGTTTAGGGTACCGGAGTTTTCATTTTTAATTAAATTAAAATATAATTTTCAAACCTTAAACTTTGGTCAAATTTTATACGCTAAACAATCAGTATAACTCAATGTAAAATATTTAGTGCAATGTTGTCATTTTTAAGTTTTAAAATTATTATAAATGTCTATACAATTGTTTTATAACATTGCATCTTTTCACGTATTGACTTCAGGAAACTAACGTATCATGCATATAACAGACAAAATTGAAATAATTACTCAAACAGTATATACGCAAAATTATCTACTGTTTGTTATTTAAAATATTAAATTTTTTGATGTTCATAAAAACTTTTCGATAGCATAAGTTGGCATAAAATAAACAGTGAAAGATTTTTCTTAACCAGGCAATATTTTGTGAAGCCATCCAAGGATATCTGTCTTACAAAGATCACAAACAACAGCTCGTGATAAATCACAGGCACCTTCAAAGTGACTCCAACAAATCTGACTTGAAAGCAGCGCAGAAACGTTACATCGTGTCGACGTTACAAACGTTCGGCCACCTGACGTTCTGCTACATCTACGGCCACTGCTTCATCTTCTCGTTAGTTTTCATCACCAAGTTCACCGTCGGCCGCCCCCGCCCTTCCTTCATCGACGTCTGCAAGCCCATCTATCTCAGTCGGAACTTCACGTGTGATGGTTAGCTGCATCCATGCCTTTGGGAAACAATTATAATATTTTTCAACGAATCATTATAAAATGTAATGTTAGGACCGAGAGGAAGTACACGTGTTTATCGTGTAACCCATGCTTGAGTTATCATTGCTTAATTTTATGTTGAAAACTTTCGATGAAATCCACCCAGGAACTGTTGCTACAAAACATATCTACGTCGACAACTATGAATGCGAGAGTGAGGACTCAAGGACCATGACGATTATTGATGCCAGGCGAGAAATCAAGTTTTGCTTCATTGAACATTTTTTTGTTGGCGCTCTGCGATCTTTCAACTCCAGCACTTTTCAACCCAATACCTTTAGTAATCAGTTTCTTTTGAATCACCCAACTTCAATCCTGTTTTTGTTATTAACTGCTCTTGTTAATGTGCCGTTGTTTAGATATATGTATCTGACCTCACTTATGTAGACGTAGATTGAAATCGTTTGGCGACCATGTAAACACATCACCGTAAATCACTTCGCTATATAATAATATGCATTTATACAAATTTAACCATGAGCACAATTTAAAATGAAATTAAAATGAACGAATGTACCGACGGCTGAACTTTGCAGGACATCCTTCCCATCAGGACATGCTGCTCTGGCCATATACTCTGCTGTCTTTATTGCCGTTGGTTTTCATTTTTTATTCTTAAATTTGTTTTATTGTTTGTTGTTTTAAAATTTCAGAAATTGCGTAAAATAGTTTTTTTTTCCTTTTTTGTTGAGTTGCTGGATTAAGATTTAGTAGTTGGTTAATAGAATGAACGTTAATAAGAAATAAAATACTTTTAAAAATTTATTCTGTATGTTACTTACTTTTTATTTTGCAATTTTTAAAAATAAATGTTTATATTTTCACTAATATAAAAGGTATTGAATTAAAACTTACTCAATCGAATGAAGCATCGCTAATAATATTTTAAAAGCGAGCGATACGTTGAAATTTCTGTTGCACTATTTAATCGCAAAGAATAATTCATTCTAGATTTATTAGCAATGAATTGTACTGTACATTCCAGATATACTTGCAGAACTTGAAAAACTGCAACAAGTTTGTTAGACTGGCGAGAATAGTCACGCAATCTTACATCCTACTGGTGGCATTCTACGCTGCTGTCTCGCGCGTTTCTGACCACCGTCACCATGCGACAGATGTTCTTGGAGGGCTCGCCATTGGTGTGACAGTAGGGCTTCTCATGGTCAGATTTCATTCATGTTTACTCATTTTTACATTTAAAAAATAATATTAGCATAGATTTTCCAATATTTTTCATATATTATAACATATATTCAACGGTAGATTTTATTTCTTACAGATGATTCATTTGAAAAATAAATCAGCAGTTGCTAACCGAGCCATAACTTGCTATAACGGTAGTGGCCATGTAAATGAATTTGAACAAAAGACATAAGTTTATTTTAGTTGTTCATTATAAAAATTTCATTTTCATACAAAAGTTTTACTTTGTTTTTTTTATGTATTTTTATATTTAAAACGCCTTAATGAATAGAAAATGTTGACACCATTCATGAGCAAATATTTATTTTTTTACTTCGATTTAAAACATGACGGATGCTATATATTAAATTCACCAGTAATTTAGCTAGTTAGGTAATTTAGACGTGTAATATTCTACTTGCCTACATAAATTTTCATGCTTCAAACATTACAGTGGTTTTTGGTATCGTCAAGTGAATAAATATTAACGAGCAGATTGTCTGTGGTATTTTTTTTTACAAATCTTAGACTTGAAACCGTAGGGTATGTATTCTAATGTTTTAAAAATATAGGTAAATATACGATTTAATGCAGCTAACTAATATGATTTAATATAATATTACATCATTTAATTACGTATTTATAGTTAAATAGTAAATGCGGCTTATAAAATCAAACGGTTTGCTCTCACCGATGTTTGTTCATGAATAAAAATTAAAAAAATAATGACAATAAATATAAAAATTTGGTTCATTGAGCTTAAAATGTTAATCATCATCACAAATAAGTACTGATATGATTGATTCCTTAATTTTAAACACTATCCCTGAAATATAAAATTATATATTTTTAAAACCATAATTAACTAATATATTAAAATAATTTGTTAAATATAAATATACTTTGTTATAATATAACAAATATTTGTTTTTATGACACATTCAACAATAAATTAAATGAAGCAACTTTCATAAAGATTATACAGAGGTAGGCTAGATGAAAGATTGAACTTTAAAGCGTGCATGAATTATTTTCCCTTGAAGGCACTGAACAGTTGGCCACTCGTATAGCCTCTGTTGCCTGCCTCGATGAGCTTCTTCAATGTTATCCTCACAATCTCCTCCTTGCCATCAGATATGCTGCCATTCATCATGATGAACGCTAAGACAAGATCATTTATTGACTTCAAATCGTAGCAATATTCAAAGCTGTAAACTTTATCAATGATGTATCCAAGCTTAATTATTCCCTGCTTGAGTACGTGGGACTCCACTTGAAGTTTTCCGCCTGCCTCTCGGTAGATGTCGTTCAAGAAGCAGGTTGCAGCGCCTGTTGGCGAACGTTGGTGAGCATGCGCACGTTTTGTGTGGTTAACAGATTTATTTAGATTTTCAAAAATTGTTAAAATGTGTTTCAATGAGTGATTGATTTGAGATGAAAAGAGATTTTTTTAATCAAACTTTAACGTTCTGTACATATCTTGAGAATATTTTCACAAGAGTTTAGTGTTGAATATGGATGCAAACACCAATATTGTGGGAAGATATTAATTACGTAGGCCTACTATTTATACTAAAGGAATTGTCTTGAATGTTTTCTGTTCTTTTCATTTCAACAAATAAAAATAGTGCGTCTCCATAATAGATGCTTTTACTTATTTATCTTTCAAAGTTACTGAACAAAAGATTCATACTTACTTCATACTTACTTCATTCATACTTACTTTCATATATGTCATTATTATTCATGATAAATAATTTGCCATCTGGCTTCAACCATTCATTGAAACATTTTTTGAATGTAAACTAGACAAAATTGTAGTTATGTTAAAAATTTATCCAGATGAATAAATCTGATTTTTATTAAACTTAGATATTTCAACCAGCGTTTCGTTCATCCTCGTTGAAATAATACAAGGCGTGAAACATGAGGACCAGATCAGCTTTGGACTTCCCTGGCTCAGGACCTCTCCAATGTTGGGCAGCCCCAAAGTGAATTTTCACGTTTACATTGCTGGGAAGAAACTTTTTTAAATTATCTGATAATTCATCCAAACAAGATTTATTTATCTCAACGGCGGTGAAGTCAGTCAAGTTTGGAGTCAATCTGCTTGGGGAGAAACACCTTCAAAAAATCGAACATCAACAAAATATTTTCATGAATGTTTACTTTGTCAAGAAGTTTAAATTATTGATTCCAGGTTCTGGTCCAACAGATATGACACGTTGCACATGTTAGACAGAAATGCAACATATGCTAGGGACTATGATACCTTAATTTTTTTTTTCTTAATTTCAATTTTTTATAATTATTTTTATTAGTACATTTGTTTGGTATTATTTAATGTAAAAAATACAAATTTTGAGATGGTAAAAGAGAATAAAATGTATAAAATCTTTTTGTCCAAAAATTTAATTTATATAAATACTAATTTATATTCCCGCCTGCAATCGATTAATTGATATTTTATATTCGTGACATTAACACTTCGATAGCTCCGTATTTTCGTTCATTCATTAAGTTACAGCTGTGTTGCGTTCCCTTTTCTAGTTATCTCATTGGTCGTTGTTTATGTGCACTCTTTTTCATACATATTTCCCGCATTTATAATGTGTTTTCAATTACATTGTAGGCACTGTCTTAGGATTTTGCCAAAAAATTAAATAACAAATCCCGACTTCGGAGAACAAACAAAAATAATTACAATATGGTGACTAATCTAGTAGTTTTCTGTTGCGTATCTAAGTGTATGTAAGGAGTGGTGTATCAACGATGGATTCAGATAGCATAATAATAGGGCATATTTCTTTATCCCTTAGCAGAAAATATGCTAATTGCAACTTTGCAGCACATATGCTAATTAGTTCTTATCCCAGTATGCTAATTATCCTATGCAACTCTCGGAAATGCATTTAGAACGCAAAAGCCCATATATTCTGTGAGTGTGTGTGTTTGTATGATGTGTGTGTGTGTGTGTGTGTGTGTGTGTGTGTGTGTGTGTGCGCGCGCGTATCCGTTAGTCAGTGTGTGAGTGTGTGTTTATATACGTATGTGTAAAATAAATATAAAAATGAATAAATATTTGAATGTTTTAACAAATAATTAAGATAGCAAAATAAAAATCACTTGGACCACTGAGGATCTTGATGAACCTATGGACTTTGATAAAATAATGACATTCGGATAAATATGTCAATAATAATAACTTGAAAGCACTTGTTGTACAAATATTCAAAATACTCCATTTGTTTTTAATTACTAAATTTTTAAAAACATAATTTTATAATGGAGACTGGGATAACTTCTTATACCGAAGCTTTTTCAGAAATCAGAAAACTTGGAAGTAATATTAAAATTTATTTTCCTAATTATTTTATAATAACAAAACTTTTTAAATTTATATGCCAACAGAAGTTTAAAAATAATTTAAGTATCAAGCCTTTAAAACAACATTTTGATTACAAAATATTTCAAGAAGGAGCATGGCTACATCATATTCAATTATAATTTGTAATAATTGAAGTTTAAAAATTGATTATTGCAGATGTTAGTGAAGTTTACGAAAAAATGTTTGATGAAGTGGATAAAAGTTATTTAGAAAATGTTCAACACGTCATATCGATAGGACCCGGACCGGGATTCAATGATCTGGCTTTCTTGAAAAAGTATTCATTATTCTCAAATAACATCAAATTATTTATTATATTTATTTCTTTAAACAAGATTGACTCCTAATTTGAAACATTTCACTGCAATCGAAACTGATGAATCATGCTTAGGCGAATTGTCTAAAAACGTTGAGAAGTTTCTTCCAAGGGATGTGAACATTAAGATCTATCAAAAGGGTGCTCAGTATTGGGCAGGTCCCAGTCCAGAAGAGGCCAAAGCTGATCTGGTTCTCATGTTTCATGCCACATACTATTTTAATAAGAAGGAACGAATTGTTAGTTGGCGTTCTATTAAAATTATTTTTGATATTTCAAACTTTCAAATATTTCTCAGGATATATATAAAAAATGTTTCAACAATTGGTTAAAAGCAGATGGAAAATTATTTATCATGAATAACAAGGACATACATGGAAGTAGGTCATTATTATTTATTTCAATAGCATGTGATTATTGAAAACATTTATTAAAGTATGTTGCTTTTAAATATAACACAACCCTTTTAAAGAAAATGTTGTTTAAAATAAAATCGCTATACTTACAACAGTTAAATTTCTTAACCCACTTTAAAATTTTATTTTATACTTTTGAGACAATATGCTTTTGACCTTTGATTTTTCAAAAGTTTGTCAACATTGAAGTGATCTTTTTAATTAAAATCTATATTTTAGGACATTTTAAATGTTGATGTATGAATATCTATCCCATTTTATAGTTTCAAAATAACATTTCTGCAAAGGTGCTATCAATGAAAAGTTCAAAAATCTTATTTTGCATTTCATACGCACCATACGTATATGTATATATATATATATATATATATATATATATATATATATATATATATATATATGAAATAGAACCACAGTTCATCATTTTGTAGAACGTATATATATTTTAAATTAAAACATTTGTTAATCTATACTACTAACAACTATTATTTTGAATAATTATGGAATAATAATTTTAATTCTATTGAAACCAAAAAAAGCACAACAATAATCTATTGAAAAAATTCTTCAATTCTTCACAGCCACTACGACCAACTTCATGAACGACATCTACCGAGAAACAGGCCGGAAACCTCAGGTGGAGTCCTTCATAATCAAACAGGAACTAAATAAGCTTGGATACATTATTGATAAAGTTTACGACTATGAACATTACCACGATTTGAAACTTCTGAACGATCTCGTTGTTGCATTCATTGTAAAGGTTGCAGATCCTCCTTATGAAAACGACAAAATGGTGAGGAAAGCCCTGAAGAAACTCGTCGATGAAAATAAACAAGGCTACACATACGGCGATCTTTTCAGCGTCATCAGAAAGACGTAGGACATCCACTTCGAACTTTAAACTTTGAATTTAAAGATCAAAAGGCTGATGAAAATTAGCTTTTTAGTGCCGGCTGTCCTACCTATTTGTAAACACGATTGATTATTTTTATTAAATATAAATTTTACAGTTATTGAATATATTGATTTATTTTTAAGGACGTTTAAAGGTTATCAAATATTTAAAAAAAAACCAATACTCATTATCATATACTGTACTGATTTAAATTTAAGTTCAATTTAATTTATACTGCAATGAAATTAAAAATTATTGAAAAAGTTTCATAAAAAGTAATTTCATCAAGGGCAGGCCTAGAGGGGACCGGGTGCCAACCGTTGTGAGTAGTTTTGTTATTAAATGTCAGTAAACTCAGTTTTTGCACGAAAAAACACTGTTTTGTGTAAAAAGAAAACAACCAAAAAAAGGTTCCAAGCCTAAGTTTTGTCAGACTACCACAAGCCTTGGCTCTTAGTCAAAATTTTCCAAAAATTTAAACATTTTAAAAATTTTGTCCCCTTCTGTTTAGATCCGCCACTGATGTCATTTAACCGGTTTCCACAGGACAGGAACCCGACAGAGAATATCTCACAAAAATATTTTATATTTAGACTGAAGTTATTGATGAAAGTTTGAAAAAATTATGTCTTAATCACAGACTTCGTTTAATGAGATTTGGTATAAAACTTTACAAAACTTCATCAAGGAAATGTTGATCTAAAACATTTTGTTGTTGGAAAATTATTTGGCTAATAGTTCTTTTTGGGTAATTACTAATGCAACTCAAATAGCATAACATTGAACATCAAAAACTGTAAATCCATGCATGATTTTAAAAATCTATCTCAACACTTGTTCTACGAGAATGTGAAGATGAATGAATTAAAAGATTTAAAAGTTTTGTATAATGAATGTTCCGATTTTGGTTGTTATATTATTATTCAGTCGGGTGATAAATTTTATCCTGGGTTGATTCTAAATTGTATATAAAAAAAACTTTTTTGTTGTTTTATAGTCGCTTGTGCGGTTTGTGTTGAAAAACGCGTGAAGTGTGCGAGTTTTCTTGATAGATTGAAAAGATGAAATGCATTTAAAGGTTCTAAAAACGGCAAAAAATGATTCGTTAGTGCAGACGAATATTTAAACTTTCCGACGTTAAGATTCTGTTAGAACGCTGGGACATAATAAAAGTTGAAATTTCCTAGTTGTAAAAGTAACGACAGAAAACATTTGTACGCAGGCAAGATCTTTTCATTTTAACTTGTTTGTGGGGTGATAAGATGAACGCATAAATGGTATAAATCATTTTAAGAATAAATTAGATTATTTTTGTATGAATGCGGATTAAAAAGACAACCGAAAGATAAGTTCATACTGTTGAAACTAAGGAGACAAAGTTCAGTTTTATTTTCATTTGTTGAGTTCAACTTGTAATTTGATTTATGTTCAACTTGTAATTTGATTTATAATTTAATAGCATTTGGTCTTGAATAAGATTTATGAACTTATATAAAAAATTTCTCTTATTATAATCATTTTCTTTCATTATAATTTCTTTTTTTGTTTTGTATTACCTACGAACAGCTATTATAAATTTTTTTATAGATATCTTATAGAAAATTGTAGCAACAAATTATCGCCCTAGTACTCTTAAACATCTGTTCCATGTTAAATAATGGAAAGTATAATTCAAAAAAGTGTAGAAGATCATCTTTTAAGGAATAACATAATAGTAAAACAACAACATGGTTTTGATAAAAGCAAATCATGCACAACCAATCTACTTGAAACTCTTGATTTTATTTTCTATAATTTGGATAATTCTATTCCAGTGGATGCAGTCCTGCTTGATTTTGTCAAGGCATTTGATACTTTTCCACACAAAAGATTATTAGCTAAATTAAATGTTCATGGAATAAATGGATTAGTGTATAAATGGATTGACTCGTTTTTTAAAAACAGAAGACAAAGAATTTTTTAAGGTGAAACTATTTCTGACTGGGCTGAAGTTTTTAGTGGTGTTCCTCAAGGCTCTGTTATTGGTCCTCTACTCCTCATTCTCTACGTCAAAGACTTACCAACGAAACTGAAAAATATGACAAAACTCTTTGCAGATGATACCAAAATCATGAGAGCAATATCGTCAGATAACGATGTAGTCCAACTTCAATCTGATTTGAATGAGGCACTTAAACGCACGCAAGACTGGCTTCTACGGTTCAACATTGAAAAATGCACTGTTATGCACTACGGATCTGGTAATAAAAAATGTCCACTGTATACATAAATTGAATAATATTTCATGCTGAATTTGAATCCGAGAGAGATCTTGGAGTGATTTTCAAATAACATAAAATGGAAAAATCAAGTCATTACAGCATCAAACAAAGCAAAGCAAATGCATAGTCGAATAAAAATCATATGGGATATTTGATTATAAGTGGCTTTGTAATTTATACCTAACTTTTATTCGTCCACTCTTGGAATTTACAGTATCAGTTTAGTCCCTAGATCCAAAAGGTGATAGCGGGGTAATCTAAAGAGTTCAACACAGAACAACAAAGTTGATTCCATTTATAAGAAACTTAACTAACGAAAATCGTCATAAAAAATAGGATTGAAGGTGGAATGAAGAAAAAGAGGAGATTTGATTCAGTTGTTTAAAATCATGCATTATTTGGATAAAGTTGATTTAAATAATCGTTTTAGCATAGTCAAAACCAAAACGCGAGGTCACAGTTTGAAATATTTTAAAGAGTTAACAAGACATAGAGGCAGATAGAACTACTTATTCAATAGAGTCACAAATACTTGAAACACATTATCAAATGAACTTGTTGAGGCACAATCAATGAACAAATTTAAAGCAGGCATTGATTGTTGTATGAACAGCAATCAATCAACGAATCAGCTGTGCTAGCATGCCTGACAGCATGCTCTCTGGATAGCCTCAAGAACAGCATTACTGCTACTGCTACTGCTACTACTATATCTTATTTTTGTTAATCTGACTTTTTGCACTGGCTCTTCAACTTAAAAAATGGCCAAAAATTAATAAAAAAATTTTCAAAGTTGCTATTTTTTATTGAAAATAATAATAAAATCATGCAACTTAGAAAAACAAATAAATATCACATCAACAATTAATAACAAGTTAAAACTTTGTTCAGTTCAAATTCCTCGCTAGATCGGTGTTGTTTATCATTTATAAATTTGAAGTGAATATGTTGACGAGACGATAAAAAAATAGATAGCTCTAGATAAATATCTGCGATTTTTTGCAAATTTTCAATTCTGAATTTATAGGCATTTAAAAGTTGAAAAAGTTTGTTTAAATGTGTATTTAAACTTCCAACAAATAATGGAAACAAATGAGAAACAGAAACCTTCGTACGCTAAAGCATTCGAGGAATTTAGAAAACTTGGAAGTAATTGTTTGAACATTATTAAAAACTATTTTTTTTACTTTTAATTTATTTATTTAATTCCTTGAAAACAGTTATTATATTTGACAAATTATTTTTTCAAGTATACTTTATTTTATTGAAAGATTATAAATTTCCTAATTATTTCAACAAATTATAAGCTAATTTTAAAACTTTGAAAAGAATAACATGTTTTGTTCATGAAAATAAAGTTCAATAAATTAACTGATAAATAAGATGTCAACAAAATATACGCGGAGGTGTTTGATCAGGTGGACAAAAGTTATTTGGAGCATGTCAGACACGTCATATCGGTGGGCCCTGGTCCAGGAATCAATGACTTGACATTTTTGAAAAAGTATGTAATATAAATTTTTTTTCGATTTTTTTCTTGATTCTTCATCAGAAGTATCACAAACAAACACACATTAAATGTAACAAACCTGGATCAATGAGTGGTGATCTTTTTGCATTCAAGCTAAGTTACTGCAACAGCAGTGTCAGGCATACTAGCTAATTATTACGCAATGTGAAAAACGTTTACAAAAAATTTTTGGTCTCATTTTTGAATTTAGCATTTGCAATCGACATCGAAACACTTACGCATGTGTGTATTTATGTATTATTAATACGGTGCCATTATTTTTACGTTCATTGCATATTCAAGCTCATTTTATGAACATATAAATGTTAGTGCCCAAAATTGTTGCTCAACGGCGTTTTTTCTAACATCTTACAAATTTATATTTTATGCATCCGACACAATTGTATCACGTGCTTCAATATATAATTACAAAAAAATTTTTAGCACTCACTCCAACCGTTGGAGTGAGTGCTAAAGATGCTGCTCATTTTTAAAATGTTTAAAAAATCTGTATTTAGGTTGACCCCAAATTTGGTTCATTTCACTGCTATTGAAACAAACGATTCTTGTCTGAATGAATTAAAAGATAATGTCAAAAAGTTTCTTTCTAGCGATGTTGTTGTTGAGGTGCACCAAACTAAAGGTCAAGTTTGGGAAGGGCCTAAATCTAAAGCTGATCTGGTTCTCTTGTTTCAAGTTTTATACTTCTTTGATGAATCAGAAAGAATGGTCAGTATTAAAACTCTTTTTGATAATTTTTTAATAAGTTAGTATTACAAGAAATGATGTCGGATAACAACTGATTAACGTTAATTGTTGGCAATGAATGATTTAAACACATTAAACAGAAATTGTACAAAAAATGTTTCAATGAATGGTTGTCACCAGACGGGAAATTGTTCATTTTGCACAATAAAGACAAACACGAAAGTATTTTTTTTACAATTTTGATACTTCATTCACAACTTTATTAATATTAAGAATCCATCTTTTTTGAGCAACCTTGTAACAATCCCTAACATATTTAGTCCATTCGTGTTATGATACAATTGCAAAATATTTGATAATAAAAAATGAAACTTTTCTGAATAACAAAAGTATTCGTTGAAAACCGACTGCGAAAGAAAAAAAATCACAAAAGAATGGAGTTATTAGTATCAAAGAAATTGGAAGCATAAATTTGATTGATAATGTTAATAATTAAAATCAGTTGAAACCAAAAAACGTTAAAAACAGTATGCAGAAGAGCTGCATACAGTAGGAAACAGACAAACATAATGAACCAAGTTTGCTAAATGAAGAAATATTAACAGCAATGAGATAAATGATGCAAAGCAAAGCAGAAAGAAAAATAGACGTTATACCGGCTCTAGTGGAGAAAAAAACGACTTTGTCAAAATAATGCCAGAAAATACGTTGACTGAAGAGACAGAACACCAATTGGAAATATGAACCTGAATCCAAATTGATGAAAAACTTTCAGAACGTAATAGAATGGAGATAAAAAAAAAGCCTGAAGTGCCTTTCATCACCACTCTTTTTTTCAATATACATACTTAAATGAATTAATAAAAAAAAATCGAATAGAATGAAGTAAAAAATATAATAGTTAGATTTATGTTATTTCTGATTTTTGTAGATGACCCAACAATGGTTACGATGACTTAAAAAACTGCATAGCATCATGAATAGACTGGATAAAATGATGGAACAGTATGAAATGAAGTTAAAAGTCTACGGAAACCGATCGAACAAATCATAGAATTCTGCTACCCTGAAAGTGAGATTGCTGAAGATGACAGATATTTGATAAAAACAACAATAGCAAAAAAATATTTTGCAAAAAAATTCATGAAAATAGATGATCCAAAAAGCTGAAAAATGAATGATGAAAACTCTGGCTTGGAGTGTAACACCTAGAAGCTGAAAAATCAAACGATTAGAGGCATTCGAAATGTGGATTTGGAAACGGATGAAAAAAATCAGTTGGACTGAACATCACACAAATAAACGTTCTTTGGTTGATAAAAAAAATAAAAAATGATTCTCAGTACCATAAGAAAGGAAAAAAATTGGGTTGGTAATGGGCTGAAAGGGTAATCCTTGTTTAAAAGCATTATCAAAGTGTATATGGAAGAGAAAAGAAGAGGAAGACACAGGAAGACACTGTTGGATTTGATGGAATAAGAAAACATTACGTAAAGCTGAAACATGGGCCTTGGATAGACAAATAGAAACTATGGAATGCGGTACCTGTTTGCGAACCGAGAAAACAATGGAAGGAATGAATGACATTGTAAAGATATTAATGCATACCTGGTTTATTTTAAAAATACACTCAAATTATAATAAAGATTGTGATTGAGATTCTTAAAAAACAAGGTCGAAACATTACTTCCCCACTTCTTATACCATGTGCAACAACTTTCAGTTTCTCTTTTAAAAAATATATATTCTTTTAATTTATAATAACTTTATTTTAAGTCAGTTGAGCTAATTTTATTAAATTAATTTCTCATCAAATGAAATTTTTAAACCAAGTGTAATCTTAAATTGAACTTTGCTTTATTAAGCATACTGAAACAGAAACATGTTGAAACAGAAATTTTTAAATGTCAACATACTCATAAGCATCCATGTTTAATTTATTAGTTTGTTCAAATTTATCACTAAAAAAAGTTATGCACTGAAAACTTCACCTTAAATAAATTAACTGTTTTTACAATTCAACAGCTGTGAACACGTACTTCCTGAACGATATTTACAGAGAAACTGCGAAAAAACTTCAACTTGAATCGTTTAAGATCAAACAAGAACTCATCGAACTTGGGTACGTCATCGAAAAAGTTTACAACTTTGAATATTTTCAAGATTTGAAAGTTTTAAACGATTACGTGGTGGCTTTCATCATGATTAACGCTGAACCGCCTTATGAAAATGAAGAAATTGTGAGAAAAACTTTGAAGAAACTCATAAACGAAGGAAACAAAGGTTACAGCAGCGGGGATCTATTTAGTGTCATCAAAAACAATCAGTCTGCTTAAAAATAAAAATTTGATCGAGGAAATGTTCAAAATATTATTTATGTAAAAAGGGTAATGTTAACTTAAACAAAAAAACATCACTTTGTTTTTTGAATCGCATTGCTTGCAATGAAAAGGAACGATTATGCTTTGAATATAAACTTTGAAAATTGTCAACGAACATACTGAAAACTGCTTTAGTAGATATTAGCAAATGCAAAATACAAAGAGTTAGGACAATTTAGATGTAAAACAATAACTTTATTAAAATAATGTCGTGTGATTCAAATGCAAAAACCATTTATGACGGGTACAAATGCATACGTTTTTGTTGTTAAGAGATCTTAAACTTAAGATTTAAATATTTTTTCGGGTAGTAAAAAAAAATAAATAGTAGCAAAACCCTGTAAGAAAATATTCAGAAAAATAAATTTAGTTAAATTTTTTTCAATTCGCTTGAAGTAAAACAGTCCAACTTTATTAACTTTGTATTGCTGACAGAAGGGACAAATGAAAGTATTGTTAAACTATCAAAACAACAAATTTGTGTTAATAAGAGTCATACAAACAATTAAATGATTAATTGAAAATTTTAATTGTTTTGTTATAATAAAATGTTCATATTATGACACTGATTGAAAACAATGAATAAGTCGTTAAAGCTAGAGAAATATTAGCATTGAATAAATTTACGATCATAATTGCATCTGCAAAGGCATTAATTACCTAGCACATCATTAACAAGAATACAACTTAAAGAAAAATGACGCCCGATGGAGTCTAAAGTCTAACAGTTCCATTCCTACTGGTGATTTGTCCTATCAGAACGAAATGTTCTACAATGGTTTCCAATGAATTGTGGCTTATATTTTCGCATATGTAGGAACCGTCTGAGATCTGTTTGATGGGAATCTGTTTGATCCTTCCAGCGATTCCAGATCGCACGCAGAGGTAAAGGCTGTTCGGCTGTGGGCGATTGAAAGTTATTCATTTATTCAGGTATTTTTGTATATGCTGAAGTTAATGAAAGATAGTGATATTTTTAGATAAACTATGATTTGTGTTAAACGTTATTAAAAACTGAACAAAGATTTAATTATTTTTAAAATTTAACATTACATATTTTTAGATTAAAAACCTAAACACGAAATCATTTTTAAAAACGACCACGCAGACTGAAAACTGTAAATAAGTTTTAACAAAACCAAGTCCTATATGGACTTATGTTACTTATGGAGTAACATCTAAACAAACATGCAAACAAACAAGCAAACAAACAAACACAAAAAAACTGACCACACTTTTTGAGGCCCTAAAGAGGAATTGACCTGTGGGCAGTGATGCCATCAATATATGTGCTCCATTCTGGTCCAGATCAAATATCTTGTAGCCGTTTATATAGAGGCTATTTCTTGCGTTAGTAGCATTGGCATTTAGCTTGTTACTACCGCCATAGTTATTATTATTATTAAAATTATTGTTGTTATTATTATTAGTAGTAGTAGTATTAGTAGTAGTATTAGTAGTAGTAGTAATATTTGTAGTGGTAGTAGCATTGCTTCTATTGTTGTTATTGTTATTTCCAGCGTTATTTACCGTTGTTTTGTTAACATTATTTGAGTTAATTAAGTTGCCTTTGCTGCTGCTACTTACGCTGCTGCTATTTACGCTGCTGCCATAGTTAATTACGTTACCGTTAATGTATTCATTTTTAATATTTCGGCTGGTAGGAACGCCATCAGTTTTAATAAAAATATCAGTATCGCTGGCTCCTTTTCTAGCACCGGATGTGAGTTTATCGTCGTTGTTCTGATCAATTTTTTTATTACTACTATTGTTTCTTTTGAATTTTTCATATTCGATACTGTTGATGTAATCAACACTTTTAGGAATGTTCATGTCGTCAATTTCAGGATTGTTGACACAATCTCCATTCTTTCCACCTCCATCATTTTCATGTTCATTCTCATGTCCACCATCGTCGTCATCATCATCATCAGCACCGGATGTGAGTTTATCGTCGTTGTTCTGATCAAATTTTTTATTACTACTATTGTTTCTTTTGAATTTTTCATATTCGATACTGTTGATGTAATCAACACTTTTAGGAATGTTCATGTCGTCAATTTCAGGATTGTTGACATAATCTCCATTCTTTCCACCTCCATCATTTTCAAGTTCATTCTCATGTCCACCATCGTCGTCATCATCATCATCAGCACCATCATCATCATCGTCGTTACCATCATCCTCTTCTTCATCATCATCCTCATCGCTGTCATTATCATTATCATCATCATCATCATCATCATCATCATCATCATCATCATCATCATCATCATCATGGCCATTATCCCTATAGTTACTTAGAATGTTTTCATTATGACGATTCCTTGAATTACTATTTTGATTATTATTATTATTATTATTGTTATTATTATTATTATCATCATTAATATTATGTCTGACACAACGTTTAATGAGATTACTTTTATTTTGCCAGTTACAACTAAGGTTAGCTTCGATCTCATTTCTCGCAACGTTATTATTGCGGTCATCACTTGAAACTCTATCGTTGTCGTCATTATTGGTTAAGGTAGAAATATTTGAGCTCTTGTTGAGCATCTTGAAGTTAGGGCTATCAGTTTTATCAGCACTCTTGTTTCTTTTGTAATAACTATTTACGTTCCGGTAGTTACTGCTACAGTTATCACTACAACAACCACCAACACCAATAGCACTGTTACAATTGATACCACGATTACCATTATTTTTATCTTTATTACAGATTTCATTACAAATTGCCTTAGAATTGTTTCTATTACCGTTTCCATTGCCGATGTATGAACGTTGGTTGCAGAATTCGCCTTTGGAAGTTGATGTCATTTTGTTGCTGGGTCTGCCTGTGTTTTTGATGGTTTTTTCTACGCTGCTGTTGTTGTGAATAACAAAGCGATTGTTAGCAGATTGTGGAAAATTTATGTGCGTATTAGTGTTATTGTCATCGTTACAAATAACATGATCACGTTTTGAGCGTTTATCTACAGGAACAACTCCGCCATTTGAACTTAATGTCTTGTCTTCTTTATTAGCTAGTTTGTCTGAGGGAATTTTATAAGAATTTAAATTTGCATAGGGAGTATTTTTTGTCTCCTCGTGCTCTATTTCATTTTTGAAAAAAGTTGAGTGGTCTCTTATGTCGAATTCTTCCTGGCCACTGATGATAATATCATTTGGAAGAGGATTGAAATGTTTGTAATCCTGGCTGATGTTGTTGGTGTTGCTATCTTTATTGGATATGACGATATAGTTCACTTGCTTGTTGTCTTTTGTTTCTTCCTGCTGGAATGCTTCCAAGTCTTTACTGCCCACAATCATCTGGTACGACTTCGTTTTCTCTTTATTGACTAAAAGTTGTGAGCTTTTTTCGTTGAAGTTATTCTCCGATGGTCGGTTGCAACTGCAGTTGCACTTGCATTTCTTTCCCATTGTAACGATTATGCCTTTACAGCCTGAGGATTGAACAATTTTTAATGACATTTTTTAATAAACTTTCAATCATTTCCAGTTTGAATTGAGTTAGCGTGATCACGAAACAGTTTATGAGTATGGTGATCTTTAAAAACAACAATTTCAAATGAAATTAAATAATTACTCATTTGGATGTTTAACGTTCGTATACTATTTAAACTATTGATTTTTACGAACGAATTTTAAAAGTTCTTTTTTATTCAAGTAGATCACAAAATATTTCCTTACAATCGAACCACAATAATTGTAAAATAAATTCAATGAAATAGTCAAAATTCTTTGCAATTTAATGTGCAACTTTTGAATCAAAATTCTAAAAAAATTTTTGATCAGGCAGTTATTACCACCCACCTATTACATTTTACAAATTTTACTAAAAATACAACAACATATTTGCAAACAATTAGCAATCTCTTGATTGATTAAAAATTTCAAACGAGACGTCATATTTTAAAAAAAAATTAGGTGTACCTGTTTGCCTTGAGTTTGTACTAGTTGAATTAATTGTTTTTAAAACAGTCTGCTAGATTAAAACAAATATATTATTATTTTAAAATGTAAAAAATTCTGCCGAGCATTTTGATGAATCTTAAAATTTTATTTATAATTTTGATTGTGTGGGGTTTAATACGCAGGAACGAAATTACGATTGTCTGGCTGTGCTAGTTGTTTTCTATATACAACAACCTACTACGTATACTATGTACTGTATAGCTTCTTGTAATGCGCTCTGCTGTTCGTTTGATTAATTGAATTTCAACGTGCTTTTTTTTATTCAAATCTCAACAGTTTTTCGTGATATGAAGGGCTGTTCTTGTTGTATGAATAAAATTTCTTTCAGTTGTAGTTGTGTAAAATGATCAGTGAAATGATGAAAAGCTATGAAAAGAGAGGTCATGGAAATTTAAATTTTCAAGTTTTCAAATTTTAACGAAATGACTATAAACGCTTTTCGACAGCAGACAATATCGTAACAAGAAAACAACCAATCAAAGGTCATTAACAAATTGGTAAAAATAGTATTGATAAAAATGGAAACAAGACCAGTGATTATGACTTGAAGAAATACATTAGTTGTAACGAGCTATTTTGTTCCGGTTGGAGCTTGTCATCAAAATTTTATTAACACGCATCGAAATTTAATAATTCTTTCTTGAGTTTTTTGTACATTTTAAAAAATTAGCTTTGGCCAGATTTGTTCTTTGATATGCAAGAACTTTTGTGAGACAGTTTTTCGCTAAAGTTAAACAAATTTGTTGGAAGATTATATTTTAACGATAGGAATCAGTTGGCTCTTTTTCATTGACGTGAAAGTAGTGAAGTAAAACACTTCGTGCCAATACGATCGGCTCAGTCGTGCTTCACCAGTCCCGAGCCATTGAGCGATTATGGACAGGAGGTACTTTTCTTTTGATGCCGTTACCTCCATTTATTAAAACTACTCATAATATTTGGATAAAAACTTGTAATGATTTTTATGTTTTGATTTATTTGCTTTTATTATTTTATTTTTTGCACGTGTTTATGTGTCTATGTTAATTACTCTTACTTAATAGGTGGTAGTTATGAAATAGTTAATATCTAAAAAAAAGTTAATAAGTAGATATTATCTTTTCTAGTTACCGACTTTTGTCAAACGGGCAACATCTTCAAACGGTCGCAATGGCAGAAAAACATACGAGATCATTTATTACACCAAATAATAAAAATAAATTAAAAATAAATTTTATTCAAATGAAAACATTTTTATTAAATTATATATATATCAAAAACCAATAATATCATTTAACGCTAAAACCAAACATTAATATTGTATGGATTGCTCTCAATTTTTTTACATTTGACAGAAACAAACTATCTCAACTAACAGACCGACGCAACAAAATAAATTCTTTTATTCAAATTTGCAATGAAATAAAGTAATATGTTCCTAACACATCTTAGTTGTTAAATTAATTAGAAAAGCAAACAAAACGTAACAATTTAACAACACATCTTAGTTGTTAAATTAATTAGAAAAGCAAACAAAACGTACGAAATAAAATAAATTAGCTAGAACAAAGCAAGATTCCTACCAAAAATTCAAGTTCAATTAATATCGCTATTCAATATAATCATTTAAAGTGTTACCAACACCTAATTTTTGCAATAAAACGCAGTATGAAACCATCATAATCTCACAATGATTAGCACATTAATTAGAAAAACTCCATTAGAATCCGAGCCATCTGTCTTCTCTATAAACTTTTTAATTACGAGGCGCTACATGGAACAACATTTGAACCGTCGATTAAACACATAAAGAGTAAAAAATAATCAAATTACGTTATCAGTCACACACCAGATAACAAATTTTACAGAAACACCAATATATTTATAAACATACCAAACATTTCTGCAGTACTTTATATTTTTAATTATGCCTATAGTTAGTGACAACATATGGGTGAGAATTTGTCGATCTGCTATTGGTACACCACCTCTCACCACAAATATCTAACATCGATTTAAACTTAGCAAAATTAGCCCACTCTAAAACATTAATTTAGTGCATTTATTATCTCCAGCGTTACAATCGTCGGTCTCAACAATGACGTAATCTTCTTCTTCATCTTCTTCTCATTTTTCACCATCAATTGTTTCGTCATCATCGTCGTCGGTGTTATTATTATTATTATTATTGTCAATAATTACAAAGTCTTCGTTATAACTATCTTTTTTGCTGGTTTGGCCATCATCATCATTGTTATTATTATTATTATTATTGCCAATAATAACAAATTCTTCATTGTTCATCGTCCTTGCAAGTAGCTAAATCAAGATAATTGAAAAGAAGGTCTGCATTATATGAACTTGAATCCTAACCAACATATCTGGGTGGTGTTCACGAAATTTTTGTACATTAGTTCTGACTTGTCATTGATGAGGTTTTTGACCAACAAATCTGTGAAAAGAAACCATGCTTTTTCATCGTCCTTGCAAGTAGCAAAATCAAGATAATTGAAAAGAAGGTCTGCATTATATGAACTTGAATCCTAACCAACATATCTGGGTGGTGTTCACGAAATTTTTGTACATTAGTTCTGACTTGTCATTGATGAGGTTCTTGACCAACAAATCTGTGAAAAGAAACCATGCTTTTTCATCGTCCTTGCAAGTAGCAAAATCAAGATAATTGAAAAGAAGGTCTGCGTTATATGAATTGGAATCTTCTGTGTCAACATCTGAGAGTACTAAATTTAGCACCAACTCTTCACAAACTCTTTTCAAAGCATTCTTTGGTGGAAAAATATCTGTATGTTTTTTTATAAAAATGATATAAAAACTGACAACTGTTAGGATTATTAGGCTGTTTGTTTGAATAATTTTTGAGGACTGTTTCAGCTGCTAAAATGTAATCTTTGTCTATAGTATTATAGCCTGATGTTCTAATATTTCTACGTGCTTGTCAATAAAGCAGTCCCACACACCATCATGCCATTTGCAGTTTTCAAATGAGATGAGAGCCTTCTTGGCTTGGTTGTTCAGCATTTGAACAAAATCAGATTTTTTTTCATCTTCCATGCTGGACAAGCTGATCTTGTCTATTTCAAGTCTCGTTAACAACCATTTAACATACAAAGATAAGCCAACATTGAAAATACTTAGTAATAAATGTTGCTTTTCATTAGTCTTTGTTATCATGTCTTCATTTTATACTGGTTTCATCGCTATCATCTCACCGTTATTGTTATTATTGTCAATGATAACAAAGTCTTCATCACTGAATTCATTATCATTATCTTTTATGCTGGTTATCATCATCATCGTTATAATTCTGCTGTGACTGGTACTTCTGATGTAGCAAAGTGTTTCATATTTGGACAGGATGGTTATTTTCTGGGCGTTGTTTTCCCTTTCTGGCTCATAGAATCCAGTCAGTCGGGCTGGGTGTGAACCCACACCGATTGAAGTTATCGAGAAACAAATCGGTACGTGTAGTGGGTACACTGTTGCCAGCCGTTTCGTTTCGCGTTATATAGCAGAAAGCTGAATGAATGAATGAGGTCTGAGAATATTTTCATATTCGTTGCAATATATCTTTCGTCGTCGGTGTAATTTCATCATCGTTATTATTATTGTTGTCAATGATTACAGTCATCATCACATGGTTGTCTCATGACCACACAAAGCTGCTCTTACCACGTCGCTATTGGTAAAATCTGTAGGACGGAGGATAACTCATTCTGATATTCTAAGGAGATCTAAAGAAAAAGCCAGAAATTTTTGTCGACAATGAAGCAGCGATTCGTTTAACACACAATCCAGAACTTCACAGAAGAACAAAGCATATCCACATTAGACATTTCTTTGTCAGAGAAAAGGTTGCAGAAGAAGTTTCAGTTGAACGAGTTGCGACAGAACTTCAAGTTGCTGATGCTCTGACAAAACAAATGATATACATTTATTTTCTTTGGACCAAATGTTCTTTTCTTTGTATGTAACTTCATTTTTCATTTTTTCTGTTGTTCCGGTGGATAATAAACAAGTCAAGAACGTTGCTATGTTTATTTCTCTTCTTTTAATTAATTAAATGATCTACGTGACAAGAAATTTAAAAATATGAACCAACAAGAACGTTATTTGAACATCGTCTACATCATTATCATTTTCATTTTTGCTGGTTTCACCACCATCATCATCGTTTTTATTATTATTATTATCATTATAAAATCCATTATCACTCTTGTTATCGTTATTTTCATCGTCGTCATCATTTTGGTTATCATCATTATTGCTGTTGTTGTTGTCTTTGTCGTTTTTAACTAACACAGATAAATTATCACCAACATCGTTATCACAGTCCTCAACATCATCATATACGTTGTAATCATCATCATCATATCCATTCTCCTTTCCTCGATTTCAATATTTTTATTGTTAGCAAAGAACATAAGCATATTCTCAAGAAAAAATATAGCCATAGGGCAAGGCTTAGCCCCACCACTGACATCCCCATCAACCTCACCACCGTGGCAGCCTGATGTCGTCAATGACGTTACTTGCTTGTTGATTTTTAAGAATTTGGCTTTTTTTGCAAGTATATAGTTGCCATGAGACTGAACTTAGCCACAAACTTAGCCACTTGCGAAGTTCAGAGCGGATCTCAAGACCCATCTGTTTTCAAAATTCATTGAGGAGCGCTGTTGAACATCGCGGAAATAGCGCTTTATAAGCTAATTGATTGATTGATTGATTGATTGATTGATTGACAATGACCGACCTATATAATTTTATAAGCTATCTTCGATGCCAACTATACGCACGTTAAAAAGCCAATTATACACACATTAAAAAAGAGATAAACGTAAAAGAGAGAGGGTACAGCAAGCCTGCATGCATATGCGATATATGTTATATTATGTTATATGATATATGCTGTTTAAATAGCAGCTGACATGTATGCATGTTATTATAAGCTTATATGCTATATCATGTTATATGTTGTTAAGTGGCAGCTAACAGGTATGCATATATACATGTATATATAATTATATAGTTATATAGTTATATATCGATGCTATAAAAATATATAATACTGTAGTTGTGTGTATTTGATAATCCTATTAATTTCTATTATTTATTAGTAAATTTTGTGTGGTGTAAATATTAGATAATAATTATTATTTTTCTGCTGTATTAGTAGAAAAACATACACAATGAACACACAATGCATTTTTTTAAATCAATAACGATTAAAAAAAAACTTTTGCCTTTTCTTGATGATCCTACTCTTCTCCTTCTTGTTACTTCGTTAGTCTTATCTAGGATTGATTATTGTAACTCGCTCTACTATGGCCTACCTGACTCTATACTCTATCCTTTAAGTAAAGCTTTTAACTCTGCTGCTCGTCTAGTTGCTCGTGCCCCTTTCTTTTCTCATATATCTCCATATTTTGTTCTCTTGCACTGGCTACCTATAAAATATAGAATAATTTTTTAAATTTGCACGTTCATGTATAAGTTTCAATCTAAATTATTTCCTAAGTATTTATCAGATATATTAATTGAACCTAAACGCCCCGGTTTACGATCGTCTTCTTCTCGCTTTTTCTTAACTCGTGTTAAACAGTCTTTTGCTAAATCTGCTTTTGCTTTTTCTGGTCTTTTTCTCTGGAACTCTCTACCTACTTCTCTGACTACTTCTCCATCACTTGCAAAGTTCAGAGCGGATCTCAAGACCCATCTGTTTTCAAAATTCATTGAGGAGCGCTGTTGAACATCGCGGAAATAGAGCTTTATAAGCTAATTGATTGATTGATTGATTGGTAGTTAACAGTTATAGAAACTCAATTCTATTTGTTAATCATTAGCAATAAATAAATAATTTGAAAAATTTATATCAACTACATATACTTGAAATTAGGAATGCACCGACGTTTGGTCCCGGTTAAAATCCGCCGAATTTAAGCGTCTATCAACATTTAAAAATGTTATAAATAGAAAATTTTTTTATTGAATTCAATTAATTTTACGTCAATAAGTTAAAGGCTAAGCATATATGACACATAATAACAACATCACTAATTATGAGGTGAGCTGGACAATTTTCTTTATGTTCTAATTTTCTAACATGGGTTATGCATAAATTATGAGCTGATCTTTGTGTAAAAGAACTTGTGCACGTGTATATACTATATAATTGTATATAATGGAGCATATAGCTACATATTATTTATATATATAGACATAAGCGCGTAATTTAAGAACATAGTATGTTAAAGGTTAGGCTAGGCATACATGACACATAATTACAACATCACTAATTGTAAGGTGAGCTGGACAATTTTCTGTGCTATAACATGGGTTATGCATAAGTTATAAGCTGATCTTTGATAACAGAATTTGGCATATCACACAACTTATTTATATATTTGAATTAATTAACTATTTGCTTGGTGTTATTTTTTGATGTTCAACATAACCGTAAATTTGAGTATTTTTTTAACGTATGTAAAATGGTAACTAAAATCCGGTTTAAATTTAGTGTGTTTAAGCGTCTCTCTGGTTACTATTTTAATAAAATGACAACAACACAATTTCACTTGTACAATTTTAATAGGAATGACGTCACTGGTTGCCCATTTCATTGCATATTGCAAATACGTCGGAATTTCCATCGTGTTAAATCCTTTCAAAACAGCCTCAATAAGTGCCATAGAAAAATCGGTTACAACATTCGAATACAAAGGCCATTCTTTCAATTTTTTTGAGACGTGGTGCTTATAGTCAACAAGTACTTGACTTATGTGATCCACGTCGTGCCTACATGTTACAAAGTCGATCATTGGAATTATTCTATTATCTACTGAAATAACACCAGTGTAATAAAAAATTTTCTTCTGCTATGAGCTGGTCCTTCTTATCACCGATCCTGTCGAATCAAATTACAACACTGGCAATATGTTCTTTTTTTTGGTTCGTTTAGCAACTTCAACCAGTTTGTATGGATATAAAACGATGCATAACGGTTCACTAACATGTGGCTGATATATTGTTAGAAAGGTAATTTAATTATATTACATCAGCGGTAGAAATGAAGTGTGTTTGTTTTTCGTGTTTTGAACACCCTGGAAGGCTGTTTTTTTCAGTGGCTGATATATTGTTAGAAAGGTAATTTAATTCTACATCAGCGGTAGAAATCTTTCTTGATGCGGCAATTATGAATAGTGAAAAAAATATTTTTGTGATTTGATGCACAATGAAATGTGTTAGTTTTTCGGGTTTTGAACACCCTGGAAGGCTTTTTTTTTATTTTTTTTAGTGGCTAATATATTGTTAGAAAGGTATTTTAATTCTACATCAGTGGTAGAAATCTTGTTTTGAGGCCGCAATTATGAATGGTGAAAAATAAAATTTTTGTGATTTGATGCACAATGAAGTGTGTTTGTTTTTCGTGTTTTGAACACCCTGGAAGGCTGTTTTTTTCAGTGGCTGATATATTGTTAGAAAGGTAATTTAATTCTACATCAGCGGTAGAAATCTTTCTTGATGCGGCAATTATGAATAGTGAAAAAAATATTTTTGTGATTTGATGCACGATGAAATGTGTTAGTTTTTCGGGTTTTGAACACCCTGGAAGGCTTTTTTTTTATTTTTTTTAGTGGCTAATATATTGTTAGAAAGGTATTTTAATTCTACATCAGTGGTAGAAATCTTGTTTTGAGGCCGCAATTATGAATGGTGAAAAATAAAATTTTTGTGATTTGATGCACAATGAAGTGTGTTTGTTTTTCGTGTTTTGAACACCCTGGAAGGCTGTTTTTTTCAGTGGCTGATATATTGTTAGAAAGGTAATTTAATTCTACATCAGCGGTAGAAATCTTTCTAGATGCGGCAATTATGAATAGTGAAAAAAATATTTTTGTGATTTGATGCACAATGAAATGTGTTAGTTTTTCGGGTTTTGAACACCCTGGAAGGCTTTTTTTTTATTTTTTTTAGTGGCTAATATATTGTTAGAAAGGTATTTTAATTCTACATCAGTGGTAGAAATCTTTTTTTGAGGCCGCAATTATGAATGGTGAAAAAAAATATTTTTGTGATTTGATGCACAATGAACTGTGTTTGTTTTTCGGGTTTTGAACACCCTGGAAGGCTGTTTTTTTTAGTGGCTGATATATTGTTAGAAAGGTAATTTAATTCTACATAAGTGGTAGAAATCTTTTTTTGAGGCCGCAATTAATAATATTTTTAATCGATTTTTATGTTCAACTTACTGTCAATTTTTGTATGTTGTTCAATACATCATACAATCATTGTTCATACATGCGTTACTTAAATATACAGAATACATACTTTTCATACATTTCAATCAGTTAAGGATTTATATATCTATACAATTATTGGTAACATATATGAACATCTGCTGTGCATTCAGCAGATGGTCCTCTCTTTTTTCACGATCTCTCCGCGCACATATAGGTCGGTCATTGTGGCTGGTGGCTAAGTTCAGAATCATATAGTTGCCTGCTTGTCATGCTTCAGATTCCCTGGCTTCCTCTTACAGTTGTAGCAGTAAGGCATTTTTTGCTGAAGAAATTTTTCAAAAATTCTTTTTAAACATTTTGATGTGTTTCGCTCTTTTGAATAGAGATGGAGCTTTTGTAGTCTCCGATTTGGTTTTTGCCGTGGCAGCCCCCATCGTAATTATCACCATTTTCATGCCCAACTTTATTTGTACAGTTGTCATTCTTACTGAAGCAGTAATAATAATCATCATCAAATACGTCGTATTCATCAACGTAATCACCATTATAATCATTATCGTAACCGTCGTAGTAATGGCCAACATCGTCTTAGCAATCAACTCCATATCCATTCTCCTCAACTTCATCATCATACTTTTCATTGTTCTGACCGCAACTTGCGATTACGGCTTCTGTGGCTGCTTCTTTTGTTGCTGTTATTGTTATTTCATCTGTGACTGGTACTTTCAGATACAGCAAAAAGTAGTTATTAGTAGGCAGGACGGTTATTTTCTGGGCGTTGTTTTCCCCTTCTGACTCAGAGACGTAGCACTCATAAAATCCAGCCGGGAATGGGTAAGATCCCACACCGATTGGAGTCATCGAGAAACGAATTGGAACGTGTGGTGGCTTCACTGTTGCCAGCCGTTTCGGTCTGGTTCGCGTTATATAGCGGAAAGCTGAATGAATGAATAAAATGAGGTCTGTGATTATTTTCATATTCGTTGAAATAAATCTTTCAAATATGAAACAGCAAATATATCTAGAACAATTCTGAATGAAACACGCGACAAACATTGTAATTAAACAACAAAATCACCAATCGTTCGGTCAGTTACTAAAATTTAATTTTTAACATTAAATGATTTGTAAAGAAAGCATTAATTAATTTGTAATTCGTTTATACATTTTCATTCAATCAACATTCCTTCAAATATTGATGCATTAATTTATTCATTTCGTTTCATTATTTGGAAAATTTAATTTTCAACAAACAGTAAACGTAAAGAGTCCATTAAATCGTTAATTCGTACATCCATCCATTAATCAATTCATTCATATAAAATTTATTAACTCAATAATTAATTTATTAAATCAAATCATTCAATTCCTACCTTTTTTACCTCATTCTAGGAAAGCTTTAACACGCTCGACGCAATTCAGAAAGAAAGACTCCTACGATCGGATGGCTTATATATATATTAACCGTCAGCCAAGTTTCTTTGTCTACTGCGTGCTGGTCATAAAAACAGCCACAACAACAATAAAAATTCAACTGTGGACAATGATAACATGTGAATGATATACATTTCTATACGTAATATGCATATTGAACTCATATGCACAAGGGTATTATAATGTATTTTATATACATTTCATATATGACACACATTTATCTATATAAATTTTCATGTATGATACACATATATCTACATACATTTCATATATGATACACATATATCTATATAAATTTTCATATATGACACACATGTATCAATATACATTTCATATATGATACACATACATCTACATACATTTCATATAGGATACACATATATCTATATACATTTCATATGTGATACGCATACTTCTTTATACATTTCATATATGATACACACACATATATTTATATATATATCTATATAAATTTCATATATGATACACATATTTCTATATACATTTTTATATATTATACAAATGTGTCTATATTATACATCAGGTTATACATTAAATACATGAAAGACGATGTAGCTCTTATGTATTTGTATACAATTTCATTCGTTTCATCATATATGCACTGTATACATATGTACATTGCATTAAGACGGTCAGGAATGCACTTATTGGTGAAAATCATAGCACGTTCGGGGCGTTTAACTTCCAATTTAATATAAATATCCCACATTTTTATTATATATAATTATATGTCTTATTAAAAAATATCGTTGCTTTTTTCTTTTATACTCTTGATTGCGGTAGACATGTCTAAAAGAGGTCGTGATGGTTCATCGGGTGGTAAGTTCAGAATCACGTTTGCTCTTCCCGTTGGAGCTGTTATCAATTGTGCGGATAATACGGGGGCCAAAAATTTATACATCATCTCTGTTCATGGCATTAAAGGTAGATTGAATAGATTGCCTGCAGCTGGCAGTGGTGATATGGTTATGGCAACAGTAAAAAAAGGCAAACCAGAACTTAGGAAAAGGTAATGCCGGCTGTATATAAATAAATATATATATATATATATATAATAAATATAATATATAAATATAATAGATAAACGTAGGCTCACACGTACACACACACAAACACACGCACGCACAAACACACGCACACACACAAACACAAAAATTTGTTGCTGTGTCTATTATTATTATTCCAAAGACGAGTTGTGCGTTAATTCAGAATGTAGTACTAGGCCTCCGTTAGATAGGTGGTGCTTGAGTCACCTGGATAATGTAGTAATAGTCATAGTAATATAGGTTTGATGTTCACAACCATCAATTTCACGTTTATATTGATAGGCGGTTGTTTTTAGAAGAGGGTTATAGCTGGTTGTTGTGCTATTTTTGATGATGAGATTTTCTGTTTTGGGGTTTTATCATTATATTTTATTATATTGTTATAAATACAGCGCTCCATAATTATGACAATAATTATCTATGGTACGCCGTATTTTAAAATTTCTATGCATTGCAAAAGAAAGCTGTATAAATAGGACGACCTACATACGAGGCGAAAACACGTGTTTACAGAAAGTTACTAAGTGTGGCAAGTACGAGTTGAAGTGCGTGTGTTTTACAAATTGAGTTCGTTCGTTTACAAGTGTGCGATTATAAAACAATTCATTCTGTAATTACTGGTTGATATTGCGGCTACTTTAATAAATTCGTATTGGACAATTTATCGTTCGAGTTGATTCTTTATCGGATATACGAACCCTACGGTTGTCGGTTGTAAACAACCCCAGCGAATTTATAACAAAATGTTAGCAGTTTGATTTATTGGTTGAGGGTAGTGGGTGGTTTTACATTTTTCTTTATATTATTCATTATGGTTTTATCAATTTTAAATTTGTTGTTCATGTACAATATTATACAAAACAATACAATTGTCTTTAAATGGAATGCTTTTTGGGAGTGGTTGTCGTTGATTTGATTGTTACTGTTGTTTTGTTGTGGCCGTTGTTATTATTTTTATTTAGCTTACATTAATAAGCGAGTCTATCCTCTTTACACCCATTGTTGACCAGCATCTGAGAGCTACACTGGTTCAGATGAAATACAATAACACTTCTTTTATATCTATCTACGCACTTGTTATAGCTTTTCAGACTTGAGTTTGCAATAGTTCTTTTCATTCACACACACGAGTGTCGAATTTACCGTTTTTTATTTGGACGTTAATATCGAGGTAGTTAAGGATGCTGTTGTCTACGTCCTCTAATGTAAAGTTAAGTAATGAGTTATATGTGAGGGAGCTCTTGATATTGATGATGTTGTGTTCACTTTCTGCTAAAATAAAATTTAGACTATATACCGGCAGCAGAATGGGTGGTGTAGAATTTTTGTCGTGGTGGTTTTCGACGACGCCATCGTGAAGGTTGCCGCAGCGTTCCTTCCTACCGCTTCTTTCGTCGACACGCTCGTCGTCGCCGTTGTCCTCGTTGCGACGGCAATCGTCGGCACGGTAGGGTCGGTGTCGGCCATCAGCGCCGTAACGATCGTACATGCCACCGGCCACTCGATACCGCACACCCACGCTTCCTTCACGCGGGCGGCCGCTTCCCTGATCGGGACCCGCAGGTCTACAATATCTTCTACAGACCTCAGAGTCGAAATACACGGGCCGGGCAAAAGAAATGTTTCGCCCTTCTTGCCGGACGTACTGACCAAACTTTCCGCACGCTCGCAAGTCTTCTCTCAAGCATTGGGTCATTTCTTTATTATTATTGTGTTTATTAAAACGGAAACAGAATTAACCTTTATTATCAATTATATTCGACAACGATCAATTAAAATAACTAATTCAATAACCAAATCATAAAATAATCCAATAACCTAGAATAACCAACAGTTCATAATAATCTACAACCGTCAACCGTTCTAACGTCAACTCCGCACAAGAACAACAGAACGAAGAAAAGGGGGCCTTAATTCATTTGTGCCGATTATTTATAGACTTGCACGGCGCTCTCTCATAGGTAAGCGCTCGTACTTAGGGCTAGTATCCGACCCACGTGACCATGTAAAATTTCCATTACATCAGATTTTACAGTGACATAGATGCTTTGTCCTTTAGTTTAATACTTTTTTTTTACACAACCGAGATAAAAATACACAAAACCCTCTAATGAAAAGCCCATTGCTGCTCTATCTACCTGCTTGCCATTTGGGTCGTAAAATGGACATTCCTATGTAAAAATCTACAGTTGTTGTTTTTTTTTATAACAAAATTGTGTTTTTCATGTCAAAAAATATGAAAAACTGCAAAAAGTGGAACTGGAAGGAAAACCTGTAAATGAGCTAAAAAATAGAAAATGGGAATTTTAAGGAACGTTGTCATAACAGGGAATTTGGGAGGAAATCGGTAAGGAGAAAAAAATAAAAGGGAATTGGTAAAATGTTTCAATTTCCGCTCACTTAATGCTAACGATTCTATTTAAATGTACAAACATACAATGAAGAAAAATTACGTCAAATAAAACTATTTATGATGAAAAGTTTAATTAATAGTTGTGATACAAATAAGCGTTTGTTAACTGCATAGAAATTTACGCTACTTAATTAAAGTAGAAATTATTTCTCGTAAACGTCCAATGATTACACATTTTTGTGGATAATCAAAAAGTGTCATAAGAATGAAAAATAGTAATAGGGCAATATAACATTGAATCAGGCTATCTACGATTTGTATAAAAAATTCTGAAAAACTGAAAACACGACGATTTTTTGTGATTTATGAGAAATGAGAAGATAATTAAAACAGTGGCGAATCCAAAATCTTGCGCGTGGGGGATGATTTTCAAATTCCCAAAGTTGATAACTTTTTTCATTTTTGCAAAACTCCCTTTTAGTGGGGCGCTTGAGAATGAGTTTAACAATTAAAATTTGATGACCTTTTAATAATCGCTGATTTTCCCGTTTATTACAATATTTACTTCATTTATGGAGTAGCATTCCCCTGCATTTCGATTGGATTCGCCGCTGAATGTAAATTGTATTAGTGTTCTAAATAATAATAACTAATGCTATTAAACTCTCTTGTTAGTGAAATTAATGAAATATTTAACTTGTATCTCCAACTAAAACATGTTTCTTGACAAAGAAATTGCGATGAAATTAATAATTACTTACTATCAAAGAAAGACAATATAGCAAATATTAAAAGCTTGAAGAATATGCTCACAAGTGATTTTATCAAAAGTAGTAATATTAAACATTATAAACAAATTACAAGCAAAAATGTGCTAACATTAAAGCTGAAAAAATTGTGTACAACATGATAGAAAAGATATATTTCGAATTGGAATCATCTAAACAGGATAACAACATCAAGGTCATCGTCTCATCTTCAGGTTTTCAGTATCTTATATTATCAATTCATTCACCACTTTATATTTCAATATCAACTTCACAGAGGACAGGCAGGAGCGAGCTGCAGTCATCGTTCAGCCAGAAGGTTCTGCTTGAAATTTTGATGCATTGATTGGTGGAATTCAATGCACGCGGCTGTCCAGAGTCCCAATATGAATTAACGACTGGACTGATTGTTCCTTATTAATTGACGGTTGTGCAAAAATATGGACAATTCATTTTATTGAATTTTTAATATTTTGAAAATTTATTTGAAATAATTACTCATATGATGTACTACTCCTAAATGTAGAGTGCGTAGTTGTTGAGGAGTCTGGCCTTTCTTTGCTGTAGCGGGCTCAAATAAGGAAAGATTCCCACCAATCATGTGTGGTGTTTATATGTGTTTGTGTACGCTGTGTCGTTGAATTAATACTCTGAAGCTGGTGCAGTTAAAGTTAATGACCTTTAACCTTTTAAATAAAGCTTTGTTTCAACAGTAATAATTTTTAATAACCTTTAACCTTTTAAATAAAGCTTTATTTTGTAGGGATCAAACATTCATTTATTAACTATCTTATGTATTAATTATTATTAAAGATTATTGCAATTTTCAATGTTACTTAATCTATGTTAATTTTTATGTCTTTGCTTCTGTCTCGATTTCTACCCTTTTTTTTCCTGATAGCTTGTAAACGAAACGGTTCGAGATTAACGTGAGAATAAAGATAATATTTTATTACGCCTAAATTGTGTTTGTTTTATTTATTTTAACTCACAACAAGGTGTCTTGTTAGTAGCATAAGTTTGTACTAACAATTTCAATAGTAATAATTGCATGTTAAATTGTTTTTATTTGTGTTTTAATTTTAGAATATTGTTTTCTAATATTTTGCCAGTATACTTGTAGAAGTTAACACTTATCATGTCTCTGTTATTCACCTTGGTAGGGTTCCAAGATCCAAGTTGATGATGTGCCGTTGATGGTCCTTTTACGTCCGGCAGTCCAGGATGATGTGAAATCTGCATGTGGTTCATCACAATTGTGATTTAATTTTATTTTCCTAACATTGAAACTTTTTAAAAGTTTAAACTTTGAATTAAACAACCAAATGCACTCGAGTCATTGATTCCAATCATTTAACTTCAAATATTAAACAATTACGAATATGAGACAATCACACAAAATTATATAAAGTACAAGAAAATTATGATTTCAAATCTAGGCGGCTTCTTTGATTTATGACTACTCACATTGATATGTTTGATACAATCTTGTCAGAATCAATTTTTCGATGTTATCATCGATTGTAACAGGGTGTGAGTTGGACAGTTCATTGCATAACTTTCTCGAATCGAGCCAATCGTTCATGGCATCTGCCTGGTAACTGTAACATTTGTGGCTCGCCATCACGTACATGAAGTTGAGTGGACAATCTTCAAATTAAAAAAATTCTATTTATAAAAAAATAAATAAAATCAATAAAATTATAGAAATAATATTAACTGTGGGCAGCATAGGCCACGCATCCTCCAGTGAGTTTTCTTGTATCGAGGTACGCTTTGTTCATTTTTGGTACACAGGAACAATTTCCAATTTTAGTACGGTAGTTGACTCCTCTCAAGTTCATTTGTGTTGCTTGCTAATTTTTCATAAATGAGTTGAAAGTTTATTTTTTTAATGACAGCCCTAACTCTCTTGCATCTTTACAATTTGTTTTCTGAAAACTCGTTTTCATTGAATTTGCTGAAAATGTTTGTATGAAATAACGTTGGTGCTGAATTTATTATATTGCAAATTTTTGAGCACTTTGTTAAAAAAATTTTCAAGCCCTGTTAAGCGTATACATTTGATAATTTTCGTATAAAGAATACACGTTTATAACTCACGACGAGGCAACAACAAACTGTAGATAATTCAGTTACAATTCTCGGATGTTCTAAATAAAATTTTATGAGTCACTTGATTTCCTTTAGGTACAAAATGTAAACAAAACTGATATACGCGTAAATTTAAAAATTCTTGTTTGATGATGTTAAAATGAGACATTAAACCCTTTCAAACTCATTTTCAACAATCCGTGCTATGTAAATGGATGTGAGGCTTTGTAATAATGTGGTAATTAAAACATTCATTCTAAGGGCTTGTTTATATTATAAATCTACATGATGTAAAAAATATTTAAAAATGGCCATATCATAATATGTTACTAACAAACACAACACATACATTTATACTCACTTGAGGGTTAAATTATAGTTAAATTAAGGACATAGATAAAATATTTTCTATTAGAATGCAATTTTCATAAATAAATAAAAATTAATTTCTTTTTCAAAATATTTTGATTAAACGTTCGTTCATCAAAAGCTCATGAAGGTTTTTCATAGTGCAGTTACTGAATTACATTATTCGCGCTGTCAAAACCGTCAAAAACTGTCAGCACCGTCATCATCTTCCTCCTCATCGACATTGTCTATTAACTAACAACTTTTTCTTTAAATGTTCAAGCTTGTTTATGTTCACTTTGAAAGTAAAGCTTTTCATTTATTTATTTTGCATTAGTTTTTCAACTGTTAAACTCATTAAACTAATACGGGTTTTTTTGCATAAAATATATCGAAACAACAATAACTAATAACAATAATTTAAATAGATAAATAGCAAGAGTTACGAAAAAAGTGTTACTGACGAAAAAATATTTGAAAAAAATAATTTCCAACTCGAAATTTGAATTTGCAACAAAATTTGTTGGTAAAAAAACAAAAAACAAAAATGTTTACTCATGCAGATATATTAACATCTTCATATACAATTTAAGTTCCTATTTTAAATACAACAATTTTTATTTGTTGAATGATGAAGTATACTTTTTGAGCTGTTACAAACTTTAAAAAATATCTGTAACTGTTTCTATTTTGTCTTATAAAAAGTGTTAACGCGTCGAGGCATTTAAAATTGCTATTCTAATGAGCCGCACTTTTACTAGGTTCTAGTGAACAAAAATGTTGAAAATTTTTCAATGAAACAATACCCATTAAGTTAGTTGCACATTTTTTAACCAAATTTTTAAAGTTTAGTTAAGTTAATTGCTCGTTTTATGTAGAATTTTCCAAGTTTAGTTAAGTTAATTGCACAGACCAAATTTATAAATAAGTGTAATAATGTTTCAATAATTACTACACAAGGCACCTTGTCATTTAATACCTTATATTATCTTTGTGCATTAAATAAATGTAAAAAGATAAAAGATGAATTTAATTGAATGCCACCATTCAAAATATACCTCTCTATATTACTTTCATCGACTTTGAAAAGGCATTCGATTCAATCAACAGAGAGATGATTTTCGCAATCCTACGACACTACCTCATTTCAGATAAAAGTCATTGCTGCAATTCGATTACTCTACGATTTGTCAATTAGCAGAGTATTTGTGGGCGGCAAACAATCAAAGAAATTTATTATAAAAACAAGAATTTTGAAGGAGAGGACTTTGGTTATATCACACATAGAAGTAGCAAAACACAGGCCACATCAAAATAGCACTGCAAAGCTAGACCAAAGTCATTCCCAACTCCGACAACCATTAATTAAAAAATCGGAAATTTTGCTATCTCGGCTCTTCAGACAATAAAGGACTACTAGAAAATAAATTCGAAAAGGCTCAATAACAACTCAATTGATTTAGCTTCAGTGCGGCATAAATCGGCTTTTTTTTATTATTTAAAAATCAGGATCTGACAGACGCAAAAACTGTAACAACAACCAAAATAAGTGAGAAAATAAATACAAAAAGTGAGGAAGAAAAATGATAAAACATGAAAAATGAAATATGTTAGAATAAAATAAATAATAATAATAAGAAAAGTAAAAGAAAAGTAATTGACGATGGAATATAAAATGAAGTAACGGCAAATTGATAGATTAGATGATGACTTAGTGAGTTAGTGAGGTGATCGATAAATAAAAGCTAGACCTGTGAGTGAAAAAGTTTTAATGAGTATTAATATGTTTGATGACTTATTAATAGGCTAGACTTCTAAATAAATATCCAAAAGGCCGTCTAAATGACCTTCAACCCACCAGAAAATTTCAATAATAAGGCTTCACTCAAGTGTAATTGTGAAAACAAAAAAAGTAAATTTTAAATATCTGGGTTCTTATGTAGGAACAACAAAAAAAGACCTGGATGCATGAATCGCACTTACATGGGTGGCCTTCCACAAACTAAGACCTATCCAGATAGCACCAAACTTGACAAAGAGTTCGGACTATGTCCCTTCAACGCGGCGTGCATTTAAAACTTCCTCAACGGCTGCGAATAAAAAACATTAGATTAAAACTTCAAACTAAGAGGACGTTTTTGTTCAAAAAATCTATAAAATCATGTTTGGTATATAGCAAGCAAAGGTACCCCATACATGACGAACAGAGATTTATTTCTGCGCGTTCACAATGCAACAAGAAATATCAAAGGAGATAAGAAATTAAAAATTCAATTAATTTTTCTCATTAGTCAGCTATATGCTGATGATTCTCTTATTTATACTTGTTTCCCTCCATAAATCTCAATTGCGTTCCTCATAATCTATCTCTATGTCTTTCTCCTTTGGTTTGACTATGTATTTTAAAATTAATCTTTCTAAGTTTGAATTAATTTGTTCTAATAAATCTAAACACTCTATTAATACTCATTCTATTATCTTACTTGATTTTAAAATTTTTGATATTTCTCATAAGTTTTGTGGTCTAAGCTTCATCTTTGATTCTAGCATGTTTCTTTCTTCTCAGATTAATAATGAAAAATAAAAAAAGTGTTTGCCTGTTCTTGACGATCCTACTATTTTCCTTCTTGTTTCTTCATTAGTTTTATTTACGATTGATTATTGTAACTCGCTATACTATAATTTTCCTGTTTTATATTATAATCTTCATTTTTCTTTTAACTTTTAACTCTACTGCACGTTTTGTTGCAAGTGCTCCTATCTTTTCTCATATATCTCCATATCTTGTTTTTTGCACTGGCTTCTTTACAATATAGAAAAATTTTAAAATTTGCACATTACTGTACAAGTATCAATCTAAATTCTTATGTATTTTTTAGATATATTAATTAAACCTAAACGTCCCAGTATACAACTGTCTTTTGTTTCTCTTTTCATGTTCATTCGTATTTAAACATTCTCAGGTTATATCTGCAGTTTCTTTTATGGCCCTTTTTTGGAAGTTTCTATTCCTCTCTCTACCTACTTTTTCATTACTTAAAAAGTTCAAAACGGATTTCAAGACCCATCTGTTTACCAAATTTCCTGAAGAACGCTGTTGAACATCGCATCGTGGAAATAACGCTTTACAAACTAATTGACTGATTTGGTTTTTTCATTTAAAACCATGTTTGAAAGTGGTTTATGATTACTAAAAACGGTGGAGTAAATTGAAAAGGAGTTAGAAAATTTAGAACATTTTAGAATGATTTGAAATACTTCAAATATGTTTACAATATGTTTATCAACGATAAGTGCTTCGTAAAAAGATATCAAGCTGTTTAAAATCAAATCCATTCTATTCAAAAAGAAATCATAATTTATAAAAAAAAAAAACTCAAGTGACAACAATACTTACCAAGCACTGGTGAATGCAATTGGCGGCGGAAGAAGCTTGCAAGTGAATGAACTCGGTCATATCCACGTAGCAGACATCAATGGTTTGGTTGATAAGAACCATCGAGCTTTGCACTTTAGTGAACAACACTTGATCCGTTTGTTTTATCAGATACGAAAACAGAAATATTGAAATTATAATCAAAACAAACGATGAAAATAATTTTTTGACAATCTCCATCGTGTCTTCTAAAGTAAATTTTCATTTAAACACCAATGCTTATAAAGGAATGTTTGGTAACAGGTACGGGTAAGCGTTTGCTTCACACGGAGAGAGAAAATAGTGCGTTTATCTATATCTCTCTTTTTTTTCCGTTTCACTTTCCTTCTCTCTTTTTTTATTTATAATTGGATATATATATATATAAATATATATATATATATATGTGTGTGTGTGTGTGTATGTATGTATTGTGTGTGTGTGTGTGTGTGTGTATTGTATGAATTCTACCATTCTGTTGCCATTAATCAATTTATTTTTGTCTTTACAATTTTTCTGACTGTAATTTTTTGGAAATTGTTCAATTTATTGAAAATATGATTATTATCCATGTTCATCATGAAAATTTAATGAAACTGTTGTTATCCAAACTTATCAAGCAGATAGGCCTTATCTCAATTTTTCACAAATCATTTTCAGTGCAAGTATGGTTTATATAGTTTCTTTAAACAATTACAATGAAGAACAAAGAAATGACATCAACAAAGATGAAGAATACGACACCAACTATGTATCTCACTTTGCTAAAATAACTACATAAACCAAACCTGTACTGAATATATAAACAGTCATTTAATTAGTTATAACTTACGTTCGTCAATATCGATGATTTCTCTGTTTCTAAATTTATATAAGTAGGAAGGATTTCAAGTGCACGTTAATGAATATTTATTATAGAATGTTAACCGACACTGACAATGATTGGATAGAATGGAGTTTATATAAAACAACTGACTAATGACTCAA